GCACTGATCTCAGTCAGTAGTGACAGTCAGAAAACCTGCCCTTCTCGTTCATTTGGCGAACCTCACTTGAGGCCTGTCGTCTGAGACTTTTTCTAGGACCATTAAAATGGAGTTCTGGAGGCTATCTAGCCTATGTGTATTTTAGCTGTCGGGTATCCAGCAGCGACCACGGCGACCTTCACTGCTGCCAGGACCTCGCTGAAGGGTTGCTCATACCGCCTAGGTCTTCTTCAGGTCTCTTTTACCGGGTGTGTTGCCTTTGGTTCGAGGCCTTTTATTGGGTAGCTGCGTTTGTTTAGCAGTTACCTTAAGGAGGTTTTCCCGCATCACAGACCGTTTAACCTCAACTCTTTTTTTTAGTAAGGCTTGCTCCTTTCTCCTGGAGGTGTGTTATCAGAAGTTATCCCTTACATGCCACTAATTGGCTACGGTTTTATTTTTATGCATGACAATGCAAGACCCCACACGGCTAGGGTCCTTGGTGACTACTTGGAACGGGCTTCAATTCAATGTTTGGAGTGCATGTAGTATCTATCTTTGAGACTAGTTATGAAAGAGGGTAAAAAGTCACCCAGTGATGCCAGAGGATTTGAAGGAATTAAGAATGGCGCTGTTGGAGGAGTATGAAAATATTCCACAGCTCAGATTCAAATCCTCATAAAATCGATGCCATGTCAAATGCAAGCGGCGATCAACGCAAGAGGAGTATATACCCAGTACTGAATTGAATATTTTCTTTTTTGTTTCCATGGCAACATTTTGCAATTAGCTAATTTAATTCAATATAATTTTTTATTTAGCTTTCTTATATTTTTCTTTAAAAATATCCAGTAAACCACAAAAAATAAAAATGATAACGAGTGCAAGTATTTACTAAAATAAACGAGGGTGGACACTTTTCTTGGTATCTCAGTGATAACAAAATCTATTTAACTATGATACGTCGAGTTATAAACTTAAGACTTTTTTTTCAAAATTAACTGCCAGACAAACTGAAACGCAAACGTACTTAACAATCCTAATGTGTACCAACGTTAAATAATTTAAAAAATGTTCTATTCGGAGAGCCAGTCCCTCTAATGGCTCCACTGGCATAAATAATTCGTGGGAATAACCGTTCGAAATGGGCCTAGTGAAGGTACAAGTACGAAGAGAACGGCAAAAGGGATATGACCCTAATCGCCCTAGTTACAAATTCCCTTTTGGGTGTTGACAGTTTAAATAAACCGGTTGGAAGAATGAATATAACATATTTCCACTTATTCCATTCGAACGGCTTCCGTTTACTTGGCCTTCTTAGGCGTCGTTCAGAAATAAAACTAGAAACCTATGAAGAAAAATTAAATCCTGTTGAAAGTGTGATTACAACGAATTATAGAAATGTCCTTGTTTTATTCGGCCGTTGGATAATCAATTGCTAATTTTAAACTTATGTTGAGGTGAGCGACCCCAGAAGAAAAGTCCTAATTCTTCGTTCAAAACATTTATTGACACGTTCGGACGTCTCTCGTCCTTCATCAGTACAAAATCATTGTTTTTTTGTCAGTAACACCCTTTCCGGCGTCCCAGACCAACAGCAATTTAGAGTTTTTCTTTTTAGATATTTTGGGAATTGAGAGAGAACTCCCGAAAGGGTGTTACTGACACAAAAAAATAATGATTATGTATCTGATGAAGGACGTGAAACGTCCGAAACGTCATAAATGTTTTGAACGAAGCATTTGGACTTTTCTTCTGGGGCCGCTCACCTCAACATAAGTTTAAAATTAGCAATTGAATTGTAGAAAGTTATGGCCCAACTGCCAGCCCATAATCAATACAAAGAAAACATTTGCGTTCTTTGACAAAAGTCTACTTTTTAAAATAATAATTGTATTTAAAAATAGCTCAATTGTAAACGTTAAGTTTATAACTCTATCCAACTAAATTGATTAAATTACTTACTTCAGATACACTGATATAAAGTCCAAGTTTTAACACTTAACCCAACTTGTGTGATCTCAAAGTAAACAAAAAACGCTTTATTCCTCTTTGAATTGTTGGTATGTGAAGCTGTAAGGTGGACAATTTTGATAACCTATTATGTGAAGTCGCACAGCGTGCTGTACAATTATTAAAATAATCACAAGTCGTCCTCGTCTTTTTTGGGCATTTTAAGCCTACAGTCTTTACTGAAAGATATCCCAGGACCGCTGAAGTTATAACAGAGAAGAATTTAATTACTAATGAAGAATTGCTTATCTTCATCTTATAGCTTCATCAAATCACTGAAACCAATTGTAATCAATAAATAATATGTGTGCTGATTAGTGACCGTTAATCGATATTTATTTAGAAATCGTGAGATGCGGTCTGGTGTGACGTAGAAAAAAAAAATATTTTGCTTTGTATAAATTCACTTTTCCACATCCAAAATGTAATTGTTATATGTAAACAATGTTTGTAAATCCCAGGCCCTGAAGATGATCTCAATAAAGATCGAAACGTTGTCACGATAAAGAAAATGTTTTTCTGAAACCTACATCACACCAGATCGCATCTCACGTTTTCTAAATAAATAAATAATATTTTATATTATAAATTGCTAGTACGTGCACAAAGCCGACGATAGTCGTGGTTTCTCGTCATTCGATTGATTCTGCTTCTGCATGAACCATTCGTTTTTAGATTTACCGTAAATTTCTCTGTAGGGTCGTATTTTTATGCGAAAAAAATCTGATTTTGCAATTCTATTTATTTGCATATTCTATTTATACAACCCCGCTAGAACATGGAATGGTAAAAAATACAGATTTGTTTTTTTTCATTTAAAAGTTTTGTAATCCAATTAGCGTGAATCGTATGATATTAAAGATAATAAATCCCATTACTGAACGAAATTTGTAGTAGTATAGAAATCGGAGGTCAAATAAATTTGGATCATTTTGGTATACCATGTGGTGGCGGATGAACGTACTACAGGGGTACACATAGCCAATTAACATTTCATTTCCATGCTATTACAAAGAATAAAGGGCATTTAAATTTATATTGTCTTAACCCAATAAATATAAATAATGCTGTTTTGGGCCGGCAATGCAAAAAAAAAAACTTTTATCTATTAATGTACAAAAAATATAAAATTTATTACAAGAGAAATTCGTAGATAACCAAATTATTTTGAAGAAACGAAAAAACGCGATGACAAAAATAAAAATAAAAAACCATATAAAAGATAACTGAATTCAAATCCAGAGTGGTACCCAACACTGGAACCCCAGGGGTTGATATGACCTCTGTTGTTTACTGTGGTTTTATTGACTAATAAGCTTAATTCTGCTCATATATGCACATGCAACGTATATGCAGAATTGAACCTATGGTCACCCATTCTGATGTTCTGGTGGTCCAGGGTCAAACTTCGGGCTTAAGGGGGCTATCAACAAGGTCATTTCAGCCCCCTTTGCACGCAGTTTTAACCTAAAAACAATTTCTCACACTCATTTTATAATGTTATTTCTGACGTGCTATTCACTCAATTCGGGTGGTGGAGTACTCAATATTCTTCCATCATCCTATACACATATAAACAACTACACCTACTAGTCTATTTGAGGGTAGATAGGGTACTATCCACTATCAATGCTCTTACTATACTACATTTACTTCATTCACGCTTATAAATACATTCTCTCAAAACAGCACAGACTACATCTATCACTAAACGGTTTATATGTATAATAAGACACAATTTAAAAGAACTATATTCAGAATTACCCCTGACCAAAAATCACCATGAACAGCATACAGGCCAAAGTTTAGGCTCTTCATCTCTAAAATAAAGAAAGGCCGATCCATTGTATCTGACGATGTTGGCTTGAAGTGAAAAGCCAAATATACATTTGTCCTTTTTTTTCAAGGGATACCGCCTTTGTTATATATTTATGTTGTTTATAAATGAGCAAATTTTAAAAAATCTTCTTTCTATATTTATAAATACTAGCATCTGCTTGGTTTGTTTTGAATAATTTGTTGATTCATATCATTTTTATTTAGCATTACTAGTTGCATTTATCCTTAAATACCACAAGAGAAGTACCTGAAAATTTTGAAGAGGATGGGATGGAAGAAGGAAATTACTGTAACTTCAAAAATTGTTAAAATATTTTAGGGGTTAGTTGCTAAACATTATTAAATGTAGTGAGATGTGCGAATCGATCATTCAGGTTCTATCAGGTGCATTTAACTGATTTATATTGACGAATAATTTTTGTTTATGGTTATTCATCGTTCATAACAGATGAACAGATACTTCCCAGACTTATTTTCCAAATAATTCACTATTTTTCGTGGTCCGTTTGACCAATTAATATCATTAAATTAATTAAGGTTTTTAGTTGAGATAAAAAATTCAGTGTCATGAGCGGGATTCGAACCCACGACCTTCGGCTAGATACGCCGCTGCTCTACCACTTGAGCTATCTTGACTTCAATCCACTCGGTCACGATAGCTCAAGTGGTAGAGTAGCGGCGTATCAAGCCGAAGGTCGTGGGTTCGAATCCCGCTCGTGACACTGACTTTTTTATCTCAACTAAAAACCTTAATTAATTTTTCAAATAATTGTTGACTTGTCTGATTACTTAAGGGCATTCTCTGTTTGTGTAGGCTTGCTTATACCTTCATAAATCATAACTTGATGATGCATAGCAGTAATATAAAAAGAATTTGTTCAGATGAATGCAATAGTGAAAGACGACTCACATTAAGGGTCATTATTTTCAACCAATTTGAAATGTACCTCAATATTGCATTTAATTACTTCATTGCTTAAAAATTAACTTTCTTATAATTGTGAATTGAGAATTAATTTATTGGGTATGTGGTTCAAAATCAACGACCATATACCTAATCAATTATCAAATCCAGAGGGTATCAAAGTGAAACGATAACAAAATAACATTGAGAATTAATGACAGTATTATACCATCATCAAAGGAAATAACATTGCCTTTGTTCTCAGGTCGAGCAAATCAATGCTGAGTTCAAAGCGAGAGCTCTGCAATACCACCCAGATAAGAATGAAGGGGACAAAGAAGCAGAGGCCAAATTTCAAAAGTTGAAGGTAATGCTTTCTCGGTCAAACAGCTCTTTTAATGAATAAATTAAAAAGTAAATTAAACATTTCCATTTCTTTTGTGAAAATTTGTTCTTTATTTAATTGTAAATAATAAATAATTTACTTTTACAATTGGTGTATTGTAATTATTTAAATGGCCAATTTATTGCTGTCTTGAATGTTAAAATGTCTGTATTTCTTTCTAGGAAGCCAAAGAAATTCTTACTGACCCAGAAAAGAGAAAAAACTACGATAAGTGGCTGAATAGTGGTATAGCCATAAGTTATAAGCAGTGGTTAGGAATGAAGGAGCATGTACATCAGGTAAACAAATTATATTTTATCATCCCAACTGAACTACAATGTAAATTGTTTCCAGTCGATGCATTGGATGACATTTAAGACCAAAGACCGCATGTTGGAAGGCGAAGGGGCCGGCTCAGGAAAAGCACCCCCAGCAAACAGGAGGGCATCTGAAGGAGGCGCGAATATCCACTGGGGTGCACGCTCCAATGTCCAGTGGGACTCTCAGGCCTCCAGCGATGTAGTCAACAAGTTCCGCAATTATGAGATTTAAATTGACTTCAATTTTCCAAGACCTGCAAAAAAAAAAAAATTTCACCACCTCGCCGTTTGCGCATGCTGCCCCAATGTCGTTCCAATAATTATCTAGTCTAAACAAAAACTGTCAAATGTTTATGGAAAACTCCTTTTAAATTTATTTCAATATAGCTTGGGGCAACTGGCGTATCCAGCATTTACTTATGTATGTCGATTAAACCCATTGATGTGTCTGTGAACCAAAATGAGTTTTCTGATATATTTTAAAAGAAATCATATCAATGTTAGGTGTTTGGTGGCTCATTTAATGTTCATATTGTGTAGAGAACTTTTAAAATAATATATATTAAAAAAGTATAGTATACCCCAACCACCAGAAAAAATTCTTTGGTGTTCCAGTGAAACAAAGGTGTTTTAAAAATGTGAAATAAATGTTGTGATGTTTATATGACAATCCCCACTTTTTAACTGTCGATTATTTATCTTTCAAAGTATTTACAACATTTATATTCTGTGGGATTTAATTAAAAGTTTACATATAAAATATATTTTTTGTTAAATGCTTTAAAGTTTATTAAATTTTAAAAATTGAAATATTTGATATTGTATTTCAAAACGTTATGTTTGTATATATTTTTATAAACTATATCTAGATTTGTTATTGTTACTTTGTGTAAACATTTTAGCTATAAAGTAATAGATATATATATATATATATATATCAAAATATAAATGGAAAGAAAAATAAAATGTTTACGTTTTTACCAAAACTATGCCAATTAAATTTTTAAAAAAACTTCCTACATATTTTTAATGAAAATACATGAAGATATTTTTAATACTGAAATCATATATTATTCCAACATTAAATATATCCATTATATATTAAGATTTCTGTATCAATACAGGGTAAGCAGCTATTTACACTGGAACCAAACTGAAAAACAAAGGCTACGCAATATATATTAAAAACTGTTAAATTATAAAAATTAAAAAATAGATTAAAAGAAAAGGAAAAAAAATTAAAACTTGTTAAATGTAATTTTATTTTTGTTTAGTTTGAACTCTTCCCTTGATTGATGTTTAATGAATTTCTTGTCCAATAAATGTGTAATACAACTTTTAAAAAATAAACTTGGTACTCTTTAATTTATTTCCTTTCTAATTAAATTTCCAGGTTGTTAAAGGATCAGTTAACTTTTTGATCGCAGAACCAACAAAAATTGTTTCTGAGGCCATTGTGTGTCCTGTGTTTTGTTTTCCTTTTGTTTAAATAAATCTTAGTTTCTTTGTCCTCCTCAAGTAGTTAAATGAGTCAAGCCACTGAGTCAAGTTCTAAAAGTTATCCTTATAACAAAAACTGAGAGGAAATTTAACACAAAATTTGAAGAAATGCATCATTTATATAGAAATAAACAAAACTAAGTCGCACAAAAAAATTAATACAGATATCATAAACTAAAAAACAAAATTGTGAGCTGTGTACAGGTCTTCACCATGAAGGACCTGAAGCTTGATCATCACTGACTATCCTTATCTGCCTTTTCTGCCTAGTTTTATCCGTCAGTAGTATTTTCTAATTTCACCGCATTCAGCATGGGGCATCCAACAATAGGAAAACCAGGATGAGAGTAAAACAAAGTCTCTGAAGATTGGAGGAAAACGTTATACTTTTGATGATCAGTGGTGTTATAAACAATTAGAGATTGAGATGAAAAGATGTTCCATGTGGGTCTTTAGATCAGTACTCCAAAGCTTTCATTGTGCCACTTTGACTTTGTTCTCTCCTAAAACACATCTCATCTCAACCTACATCTAACTTTGTAGCTACTCCTTTGTTACTTTATTTATATTTTTTGCCATTATACAAAGACGCACAAAATTAGCAGGGAAGTAATTATTGATGCTTTTCAAAGATCACTTAATTACCAAGTTATTGGCGATTTTAATTATCTTACAATTAATTAAGGTTTTTAGTTGAGATGAAAAAAGTTAATGGCACAAGTGGGATTCGAACCCACGATCTTCAGCTAGATACGCCGCTGCTCTACCACTTGAGCTATCGTGACCTAGATCCACTTGGACATCAACTTCCTATCTCAACCCCACCTTATTAGTTTTCCCTCCTTTTTGCCATTTTTCAAATGTCGTGTAATCGGATTGGATTCTCGACGACAAATGAAATGGCCACGGATTCATTTGTCGTCGATAATCCAATCCGATTACATGACATTTGAAAAATGGCAAAAAGGAGGGAAAACTCATAAGGTGGGGTTGAGACAGGAAGTTGATGTCCGAGTGGATCGAGGTCACGATAGCTCAAGTGGTAGAGCAGCGGCATATCTAGCCGAAGATCGTGGGTTCGAATCCCGCTCGTGCCATTAACTTTTTTCATCTCAACTAAAAACCTTAATTAATTGTAATCTATTAATTGGTCAAGCTGACCACGAAATTAGTGAATTTTAAATATCTTTTATGGTAAGCGATAAAAAGATCTATCATGAGTGAGACAAGTTTATGGTTTTTGGATCAGTACTCTAAAGCTCTGTCATTGAGCCTCATGACTTCGCTCCCTGATTCTACATCTCATCTCATACAATATACATACCTCGTACAATCCACCAAATTACCAGGGAAGTAATTATTGATGCTGTTTGAACATCGCTTGATCATCAATTTATTTTTAATTTCAATTATCTTTATATGGTAAGCCATGTATTATAAACAATAAAAAATCAGGACGAAAAGATTGGACATGATCTGAAGACTATGGACGAGTACCACCCATGAAAGATCATTTCATCTCAATTTTTAATTGTTTATAATAAATCCCTGTTCAGGGTTCAAAATAAAACGAGATTTTTATAATTATTCGATTTTATTTAATAAAAAGGAAATTTTTTTAAAATAAATACAATATACAATTATCATTTTCATAACACATATCCAAATATACCAATTCTCCTTGATAACCATTCTTTTATTCAATCAATATATATATATTTCTGTCATAATAAAGTTTTGCTTATTTAAAAATCATGATATGCAACCGTATTAATGTAAAAGTTTTTTTTTTCTGTTCCCTCTTTTGATCTTATCACATCCTCAAAACAAAACAGAAACATAATAATTTTTTTTATCTTTTTTTTAACTGAAAAACAAAACCTTAAACATTAAGACTATACACTGTCTATTCACAAGAATAACTCTTGTTTCTTTATCAACATTATTTTCTTATTAGATTTTTTTTTTAATAAACTGCCTAGCATTTATCTCAGAATAAATGAAGTTCATTGAATACTGCCAACAGTTCAAATTAGGAAAATACATTTTCTAAATAATCGATCATATTAACAGCGAGTAAATCTGACATTAAATAACATAAATAATTACATCCTTAATTAATATAAACATTGCATATAAAGAAGTTAAGTACAAATAATCAGTTAATTTGTACTGTTTTTATAAATGAAATGTTACACGTCAAAGGGGACGTTTTAACGATAAAGTATAAATATTACAAAACTATACAAGACTGGTTTTTATAACAAAATTAAAACATTCTACTTTTTCTGGGAAAACAATTATTTGATAATCCTTCCCTCGTAACTTCATAACCATTGCCAAAGCCAACTTCATTTATTGAGATCAACGTTTTATATTTATTTCTTCTTCAATAATTACATACTAATTATTAACACATTAAATTTAAAATCTATTAACAGCTAGAATAAAATAAAAACAATATTAAATTCATTTCTAAGAAATGGGTTGGTCTATCAATAAAAACAATTGAGCTAATCAACGCTAGTTGATTTTCACAATGGCATAAAAGAGGTATGGTCAGTTATAAAAATAAAAATAAAATACTAGAATATTTTTTGACCTTCTGAGTAAAGTGACTTTTTACTTATTAAAAAAAAAATTATTTGGCCACTTCATGAAATATTTATTTAGTTTCTAATTAACGATTATTTATTTTAAAATTAAGTCATTAGCTTCATATATTTGTTGACTTCTATTTTCTCACTTAATTTTGATTTTGTGTAATTTGAGTTTGAATCCCAACATCTCGGAAAGGACTCCTGAAAGGGCGCTTAATATCACAACTTTCGTTATTGTATATAAATAAGGATTGGCGGAGAATCCTGATATTTTGTAAGGCGATTCAAGCTCCTTGAGTAGGTCGGCGGCAAGCTTCAGAACGCTGTTAGCCACCATCAGCTCCTCTTTTTTATTTGGCTTTTGTTCTATTTGCAAATAGAGGTTGATCTGTTCTGTGATGAGAACCGATAAATTCCTGTACTTTTTGTTCACCTTTGTCCCTAGCGTCATGAACCTGAGAAGGAAGAAACTGAGTATGACGCTCCAAACCAGGGCTTCGATATTGCAATGCGGGCTCATTTTCTCAGATTCTTTCAAGTGTTCCACAGCCAAGTACGACAAAAGGAGGAGGGTTATTAAAAATACTGACGACACTATGACATCAACGGAATGCTGTGGACCTCGTTTCTACAAAACAAATGAAAAATAATATAATTTTTTATCTATATAAATAAAATATACCAAATGAGTACCCTTAAATAAGATCGTACAGAAAGCCAGGTCTTTATATTTCTGACTTTGTTCAATCTGAAATGAGGTAGTTCTGATTTCCTGGCCCTTCTAAATGATGTCAAATGGGAGAAAAACTTTGCATAGAGAAATCTCTGTTTAAAAGTCCTCTCAGCCACAACAATTAGAAAGAAGAAAAGAGAAGAAATTGCTGTTCTTTCAAATAGTGTTATCAAAGTTATAACCATTTCCCTAATAAAAAATTATTATTATTATAAGCCAAATATTCAAACAGAAAGTACGTACCAAGTATTGGTACCAAAAGTGATATAAAAGAGAGAAGCGAGGTATTCAAGTAAAGCTGAAGGAGGGTTCGGATCACCGAAGCAGTCTGGAAAAGCAGGAAGGGCTGCCTCAGTCAGTCTATACAATGATGGCACTAGTCCCAGAAATATTGAAACAAATATTCCTATAACAAAAAATCATATTAAGCTCAATAAATTACCAAGTTGAAAAATTAGTCATGTTTAATTCTCTCAGGCACAAACCTGCGTAAAAGTAGTCAATATGTTCAGGCATTGCTTCAACCCTTGCAATGATTGCCGAACTGATATCCAATACAGACAATTCTGCTTTTTTAACTTCTCGTTTTTCCCACATAGTACAACTCACTATAAAATAAAAATATATGAACAATTGAACTGTTGGGAAAATTCGTAAATTTTCAAGAACACCATACCTTTATCCGAAGCGGCACAACTTGGGCTAAGAATTGCAGAGGGCGACTGTAAAACACCCAGTATTTTAGTTTTTCAATTTTCTTTTTAACTCTTGAGCCTCTCTGAATGTTAGGGTGTTAAAGAAAAAAATACCATGTGAAACTCTGAAGCGAATGGGTGTTCGTCGATCTCCGAGCTGACCGAGCAGTCCTCAGAGTTTGTCGTGATTCCAATCCACTCGGCAGCACTCGTCGTCCCTTCAGTGAGTGCAGGGCAGAAGCTGCCCGTTTCACCCTCATCGCTACTGTTGTATGAGCTCTCCGCCTGTGTCTCCCCGACAACGGCCAGGTGCAACGATTGGAGTAAACCACGTCTGCGCACTATCAATCTTTCCTGTAATAAAAATTCACTAAAAAAAACTTATATTCAAAATTAATGCTTTAAACAATAATATTTTATTAACAAAATATCATTTGAGTTGAGTTCTGCCGTCATAAACCTTGATCTGATCATCTTTCATCTTTCTGAACCATTCCTCCATCTACATACTGTACAACTTGACTTTTGCTAAACTCTTCCACAAGGAAATATGAGTAAAAAAAAAAGCACAAACCAACCACTGAATGGAAGGAGTGTGGATAGGCAGATCAGGAAGATAAGAAATGATCATGCTACAAAGTTAGAACACTTCTTGTATTGGTAATTTAAAAAAAAAACTACCTGAACTGGTTCATTGCTGCCCTCTGAATCTGAATCTTGATGATCTGTCTCACCTGAACTTAAATGATTACATCCAACTACAACATTCCAAGAGGAAAAAATAAAAATTTCAATTATTACAAACTAATTTGCAGTGAGGGAATTTTTTAATAAAAACTTACTCGAAGCTCGCCTTGCTGACTGTTCGAGCCAATTGTTTCTAAATACTGCCTCGGGTTCCGCCTTCTTCACCTCCTGCTCATTCTCTTTGGCTATCACAGAATTATCACTTGCCTCTACTGCACGTTCTTCGTTCGAACCATGGCTGTTGAGGCTTTCGAAGCCATCGTCATCCTGAGGGTTAACACTCTCGTCCCTCCTGAGATGAAGGAAAGAAATGTAAAATAAAAATCGAAGGAGAATAAAAATTAAAAAAAAAAAAGACACACTGATTTCGTTGATCATGGTGAGGACTTCCTTTGCTTTCCTCTTTTGCAGGAGAAAGGCTTGGTTTTGCAGAGGAAGTTTCCCAACCGACGCTTCTTCGCCTTCTTATGTTATTTTTATTGCTGTCTTCAAATGAAAGCCTTTGTGAAAAAAATGACAAAAGTTATGTAAAGCAAATCAAAAAATATGTAATAATACAAAAAATTTACGACAGAAAAAAAATTGTTGATTATGCTGAGTTTAAAAATATGAATTATAGTGATTGATTTAAATTTGGAAATCTTAGCCAATTTCCATCAACAGTTGATCTTGTAGACTGCATGGAATTGTTTTGCAACATTATTGAGATGAACTGTAATTTAATACAAACTTAATTTTTTTCCTATTAATAAGAAGAACTTACTTAAACTTACTTTCTCAGTCTTACTCTCATGTTAAACTTATTTGATGAATCTGTAGCCAAAGCATTGAATTCTGACGAACACTCCGAAGGCTTCTCTGAGCCAACTGTAAACGCAAAAAAAAAAAACATTTAAAAAAATTCAAAAATTTTATCCATTAGTTAATCCTGATTTATTTTTTAAGTTTAAGAGAAAACTCACCTAGCTTCGGTGGGCGTCTTTTTGTCCGTTTTATACGCCTAGCCTTACTATCGAACGGAGCTAGATCTTTGGCACCTGAAGATCTCGGCGAGACAATCTGAGAGTGCAAGATGGCGAGTATGACCATCATTGCCACTGGGATAACGACTTCACTTGTATTTACACACTAAAGAAATTAATTAGGTAAGAATTATTCCATTAAAGAGGAAATAAGTGTAATGTAGTCAGCATTAATCCCAAATATGAAATTTACTGATTTCAGTGCCTTCGGAATCCTGAGGCTGAACAATATTGAAAATATTAAGTTATATTTAACAAAGATCCAGGTAAAAAAGAACACCAGATATAAAAAATATAAAAATTGTTTCCAAATATTACTAACAATCTTAGTCAAATCACTAAGTGTTAACATAGTATTTCATTATTAAATCAATTTAAAAACTGACAAAATTCAAATCATTCAAGTTTAGTTTTAATGTTTATAATTGTCTACAGTTTTATGTAAATTGATTATAAGGTAAGAAAACTCATAGATATAAATTGATTTCTTTAATTGGCGATCAAAAAAAAAGAAAAACCATATATGTTTAGCAGTCATAATTGATCATATTAATTATTTCAATTAATTTTTCTTTTTATCTTGGTTGAGATGAAAAATTTATTGTCACGAGCGGGATTTGAACCTACGAACTTTGACTCAATACGCAGCTGCTCTACCACTTGACCTATCGTGACTTTGATCCACTCAGACACGACTCTTCATCTCAACACACAACCTTTCAAATTTTCCCTCCTTTTGTCATATTTCATCTCAAACTCAACCAAGAACTTAGATAAAAAGAATAATTAATACAAATAATTAATATGGTCAATTATGACTGCTAAACATATACGGATTAATATAATAATTAAATTAATTAAGGTTTTTAAATTGAGATAAAAAGTCAGTGTCACGAGCGGGATTCGAACCCACGACCTTTGGCTTGATACGCCGCTACTCTACCACTTGAGCTATCGTGACTTCGATCCCCTCGGGCACTAACTTCCCATCTAAACCCCACCTTTTGAATTTTCCCTCCTTTTTGCCATTTTTCAAATGTCATGTAATCAGATTGGATTCTCGGATGGGAAGTTAGTGCCAAAGAGAATCCAATCCGATTACACAACAGTTGAAAAATGGCAAAAAGGAGGGAAAATTCAAAAGATGGGGTTGAGATGGGAAGTTAGTGCCTGAGGGGATTGAAGTCACGATAGCTCAAGTGGTAGAGTAGCGGCGTATCAAGCAGAAGGTCGTGGGTTCGAATCCCACTCATGACACTGACTTTTTATCTCAACTTAAAAACCTTAATTAATTGAATGTTATTAATTGGTCAAGCAAACCACGAAAAATAGTGAATATAATAATTAAAGAAGTAATCACTTCGCTAACAGCTCCCTGTGGCCACTTCATAAGTCGCTCAGAATCGAATACAGATTATACAACTGAAAAATGGTAAAAAGAGGGGAAATTCGAAAGGTTGTAAGTTAAGGAGTTGGAGTCCGAATGGATTGAAGTCACGATAACTCAAGTGGTTAGAACAGCGGCATATTGAGCGGAAGATCGTGGGTTCAAATCCCGCTCATGACAATAACTTTTTCATCTCAACCAAGACTAAATAAAAAGAATAATTAATCAGAAGAGAAAATGTTTAATTTTTCAGGGATACCTTTATTGCATAGCTTTTGTTTTGGAGATGCGTACAAAAAATAGGATATAGTTTCCACCTTTATTTTTTTTACATATATCTTACTTAAGAGAGAGGTTACGATTATGAGCACCCGAATTTTCCCAGTACCCAAAAGCCAACTCTGTCAAAATTAAACATGCTTCACGTTCTGTAAGTCATTAGAGAATTTCTGATGGGGAGAAAATATATGAAAAATTCAAAAATATAAAATCGATTTAAAAAAATAAATAAATAATTACCGTCGTTGAGAGTGAACGGCCTTAATTGCGACGTCTTTCATTACTTTATCCAGTCTTTCACCTGAAAATATTGAAAGGTGATGGAACTTTCCCACCTGGTTTTTTTTTCTCAATCGACCAGGAATTTTTTTTTTCTTTTTAAGATCTCAACTGTACCATAAAAACCCCTTTTCATCGATGACTACAAGCTTTTATCAACCAAATAAAAGGAAAGGATGAATTTCATAATGGATCTTACCTTAATAGTGCCTTCAGGCAGATTATAATAAGCGTAGAAGTACATGGCCATGTTGGCCATTTGCAGTATGTACAAAATAAGAAGAATGAAGAACATCTTGAATGATGTCTGGTGGGACCACCATTCTATGTACAACGGGAGGAATATAAGCCTCATTAGAGCTAATCGAGTAACCTTGAGGAGGCCATGCTTTGGCTTTGCCTTTGTAAAGGAAGAGCCTGGAATAAAAGAAAAAAAAAATTATATAATATGTATAATGTAGGAGATTAAGTTGGATAAGGTGATTTTTTAAACTATTAAATTTCAATATAAAACTTTATATTGATTAGAACATTATTAAAAATAAATTTATAAAATCCTTTCCAGTTTAATATAAGAAATTAACAGAACCGTAAAGCAAATACAAACAGCAGATTCGATGATTTGAAAAGATTTATTGACCGAATAAAATTTATCATGTTGTCTTTCAGGCTGTACAATAAAAACAGAGCCCTGTTTGACGTAGCAAACTCCCAAAATAGGCACAACCAAGGGTCAAAAAATACTGGCTTTATGCCTGAATTAAGAACCGAAATTAAAACAGGAAATTGTTTTAGGATTTTTCCTTCTTCTTTTGACCTGACTGGGTTTCATAAGCCATAAATAAACTTTTGTTTTAACACAACAAATCTGATCATTTATTACTGGAAAAAAAAGAAAAATTATCTGTTTGTTTATAATTCATTATCTTTGGTAAAAAGCAGAAAAAAATTTGTTTGTTTTTCCTTGTCAAGGACCGCCAACGGGTTTAACAATTTGCGGTTGCAAGATTTAATGTATAACTATTGTAACATACTATATTTTCATTACTTCATACAATAATTAATTCATTTTCTAAGTTGTACGACAAAAGGATCAAGAAATTATTAAAACAACTTATGTATTCTATTTACAAATTTCAATTTTTGAATATAATTTGTGGCATGTTTAAAAGAAAAATCTCATTCTAAATTCAGGAATTGTTAAAAACCTTTAATTTAAAATAAGTACAACTTAAATCACTTCTGAAATAAGATTATTTTTAAAATAGAAATTTGACATTCTATGACCAAACTTTTAGTGATTACATCATTATAGTTGTACTAATATTATTAATATAAAAAAATCTAAAAATTATAATTTATGACGGCCTCTTTCAAGCATGTTCGACGTTTAAGCTTGACAAACAACTTTTATCTCATTTTTTAATCGATTGTAAGACTTGTTAATCATAATGTTCAACAATAAAGAAAAAAAAATGTCATAACATTACGAACAAAAACACTTAAAATATTCTAAAAATTTACCATTTATTTAAAAGGTATAAATAGCCACAGGAGAAAAAAACAATACTGAAATCTGACAAATACTTAAAAGATAAGCACAATCAAATTAGTTTTTTTAAAAAACCAAGCGGTATTTTATATGATTGGATTAATTATTTTTTCCATTTCATATAAAGTTCAAAACTTTTATGAAAGTTTAATACAGAATATTTTTTTTTTAAATAAAAATAACACCATTATGGTGAAAATACTGTAAATTTTTAATTAATAACTCTTGAAAGTTGTAAAATTGTGGTGAGGTTGGGAAAGGTGATCCTGTAGTTTGGTTGTCTCCAATCATCCTGATTGGACATTTTCTCACAATTCAAGTTTTCCCATTCAACGAAATTTGTCGTGAGGACCTTTGCTTTGACCAAACTTTTGCCATTGAAGTTGAGACTTCTGATCAAGTCATGGGTCATTTCAACTTAAAACAGAGAGAAAATGCTTTAATTCTACCGTCAAAGAAATGAAAATTACCAGGTTCTCTATTGCAAAATTAAGATATTTGTCTATAGCCTCGGATTTCTAGCACAAATGTTGCCAACAATTACTGACAATGCGAACTGGTAAATATTAAAAATAAAGATGTGAGAGAAAAATAATTTGAGTTCTATCGTAAAAGAAATGGAAATTGCTGGACTTGCAGTTGTGAAGAACAAAATTATGTTAGAACTATGTTAAGAAGAAACTATTCAATGGTTTGCAAATCGAAAGCTGATCAATTTTTATTGAAATACATAAACTTTCAACTTTTTTTTATTATGTCATGGCTAATAGGTAGACCCTAAGGCCAAAAAAATATATAAAAAATTGTTGATCGTCTATAATTGAATTTGAAATTGTGGGAACTTAAAGCTGCCCCACTAATGAAGTTGGCTATATGCTAAAACACATCTAACAAACAGTACCAGAATAAAAAGACCACAATGATCAGAGAAGACCAAGTGACATTTAAATGCCACACAAGGCAATGGGGGAAAAAAATACCTGTATATTTTTATAAATCAATATGTACAGTACAATATTATTATAGATTTAACAGAGATTCAAATATCTGTATTTTCATCCTTGAAATAACTCACTTTATTTTGTTTTGTTTTGTTTTTTAATCAACAAGCTCACCTCGCACAAGGTCTACATCGATTAGGTCTGTTTTTAATTTGGCAGTTTTCTTCGGAACATGGGTGAAACCGCTTAGAATCCTCTGTTCTACCGTTTTCTCCCATTCTTGCTTGTCGTATGTCCCGATTTTCTTTTGATACCTGAAATAGATAAGAATAACGTGTGATATTTAGTTTATTGCGCAAAATAGTATTTAAGTAAGAAAAACCCTCTTATTGACAATTAACGTTTCAAAACAGAAATAGACAATTGATAGTAATAACAATTACAACAGCAATTAATGAAATTTAAATGACAATGTATCAATTCAAAATTCCAGTTGTAAATGTGAGAAAAAATATATCCATTATGTGTGGTGATTAGTGGCTGTTAGTCTATGATTATTCGGAAATCATAAGATGCGGTCTGGTGTGACGTAGGTTTCAGAAAAACTTTTTTTATATTTAATCAAAGAACATTACGCAGAAAACAAACACTTTGAGTGAGTAGAAATACTTTGATTAGATATTTTTAAAAAATTTTTTTTTGCATTGTTTAAATTATTTAAATTTACTTTTTTCCACATCCTAAATGTATTTGTTAAATTTAAACAATGTTTGTAAATCCCAGGCCCTGAAGATGATCTCAACAAACCAGACCGCATCTCATGATTTCCGAATAATTATATCCATCAGGTACAACAGTCAGTTAATAAATAAAAAAATAATCAAAATAAAAGGTCAAAAACAAGACAATGTAATGAATTTAAAAACAATTTTTTATTTATTATTAGATTACAATTTGGATACGATTTATTTACCTTTACACAAAAATAACAAAGTCAATTTTTTTTAAATTTGTTTTACTGTTATTTATATACATATATATTATTTTTTTAAGAATGTATTTGTGTTATTTGTCTGACAATAATGCATTCCAAAAGTTTAACTAAAACATTGAGTATCTAATATTCTAGATGTAATGTTTTAAAAATTAACTGATATTAAGCTAATCAATAGCACGTTCATTTAGAGATAGACATGCACAGTATTTGATAAGAATAAGTATAAACCGGGTGAAGAAAAAAACAAGAAAGTAAATTAATTAGTAATTATAATCAATTATAAAATTCATTACTAACTAAATAGTAATTTCTATTACTCATGTTTCTTTTTTATACATAAAATTCAAATAGCTTGTACTTGAATAGACTAAAAGTACATTATTGTAAATAGGAAAGTATTAAACAAAAACAAAAAAGAAAGAAGGTAGATCACTTGTACGCATTTGGTATTATAAATAGATTAACATTAGTCTTTGTAACAAAAACAACTCAAAAGCAAAACGCATAAAACGACATCAACAAACAGATCCCATTTATAAATTAAACTCTTCTTAATCAGTGTGACGGAAAAGTAATAAATTCCAAGGCAAATAAAAATGTGCCGTGGTGGGAGTGGGAAACAAAACGCGAAAATAAACAACACAGGCCCACATGAAAACGTCTGAAAACTTTGGAATCAATCGCCGAGCTGATTGTCAAGTGAAAAACAAAGTATTCCTTCCTATTGATTTCCTGTTCCATGAAGGTCACAAACACTGTGGGGAGGCAAAAGGAAAGATATCACCTGGAAGTACCTTGAATCCCTTTTCCTAGACTATATTGTTCATTAAAATTATCAATATAAACAAATGGTAGAATTTAATTTTCCTAATGGTATTTATATATCGACTAGATTAAAAAAAAAATTTGCCTTGGAAATATTTAAATTAAATGTAAAGTATAAACATTTACATGAAAATTTCAATATTAACGTACTATATTATTCATACAATTTAGTCACACCATGATTTAACTTATTGTTAGATTATAAGGAAGTATAATTAATCATTATATTTAATTTCAATTTTTCTGCTCTTGTTCAACCAAACAGTTCAACCAAAAAGTAAAATTCCACACATCAATTAATACTAATCCATTGTTTAAAAATTATATTTAAACAATTTTAGTTCATATGAAGATCTTTTTAAAGTAAAATAGGACGCATAGACACGTGTCTAACAAAGTAGTTGTAGCAATATATCAAAAGTATAAATACAATGGCTTAATTGAACATATGCTTAGTATATTCAAACTCCACCTAAGGAAAAAAGTTTCAAAACAGTTTAGTGAGGTTTGATAAGTGATCAGCCTGTAGCCTGATCATATCTGATTAATCACATTGGTTTTTAATTCACAGACAAGCTGTAAATTTAAAATACCAACCTAACATTTATTCTATCTAACATAGCAGAAAACTGGTTTAAGTAATATTGCAAAGGCAAAAATAAATTGTTTGTGATTAAAATACAAGTTGTATCTTCTATGCTAAAATATCATCAAGAATCAACTATGAAAAGGGGGAGAAGTGCCACTTCCTCGAAGGAAATGCCAAATAAAGATTGGGAGAGGAAGATGATTAAACAAACTGATATCTCCCTTTAAAGGACACGCGTGGTTAATTAAAAACATTTTTCACATGGACTTATAATTTCTACATTCAGAGCCATAATCACAAACGTTTTACACAATATACTAAGAGAAATTCAAAGAAAGAAAAACAAAACAAAAAATGTATAACTTATTTATTTTCAGGACAATAAACGTACTAAATTATATCATGAATTTTGAAAATAAATATTCAGTATGTTAACTTTTTTACAAGTCTATTATCTCTAGGCTGTAATAAATAAGTATAAATAAGAAATTCCTCGTTTCTTGGGATTAATACATCAGAATCGAACACTTACAAATAGTTTTATAAGTGTTTTTTTCCTTCTCTTAGAAGAATTGGAATTTTCTCATAAATAGTGATTATGTCTGCAGTTCATAAGTTGGCCTTGAGACTAGTTATTTAAAAGTGGAAACAGGCGGAATAAGCATGGCTAAATTTAACAAAAAGGCAATTTTTTTTACCAAGAATTTCTGCCATCTGGCAATCTACTAATCTAAGGGAATCAATACTCATAGTTTGTTTAAATTATTTAATTTCTTCACATGAATGAAGGCAGTACAAATAGATTTATTATTTAAATTGTTATTAAGTTAATAGGCAAAGGCTATTTGCTTAGCTTAATTAATGGATTTGTCGATTTTATAAAGTTTACTTGATCATGACCTTAATCACATTGTTATCTTAACCTGGTTTGCGTCAGGAATATCTAGTTTTTTTTGTTTTTTAATATTATAAACTGATATGTATAATAAGATGTCTATCACAAAGTCACATGACTTTCAACTATAAAAAAAAAGCAAGACTTTCTTAATCAAATTTGGTGATAAATTTTGTAATAGGGTCAACTAATTTTGTGATTTTAACGACTCACTGGTTTTGAAATTGAGAACGTATGGATGATTATAATAACACCATTTTGAATGATTTATCGGCTGTTTTGTTCACAATTATTGAAACTGTGCAAGTTTTTCTGTTTGAAACACATCCCAGTGTAAGTTTTTTCTGGCAATTTCAACCGACTGCACATAAATATTTGGTGAAATTTCCAACTCAAAACTCCAATTCTTTAAAATACTTAAAAGATTAGAATGCAACGAAAAATTTAAATTAAAAAAAAACGTTAAATTGTAAGATTTCCTCCTGTGATCTGCAGAGTGATTAACCTTTAATTTGATAATTATTTATTATCTTGAAGACAGCAAAATGTCAAAACAAGTCTGACAGACAAAATCAGCAAGGATGGGCAGAGAAACTATCAAATTATAAAAAAAAATGTTATTCAAGGGTGTAGTGGGTGTTGTGTTTATTAAACAAGTGGATACTTTTTGTGTCCAGAGTCAAGGCCCACTTGCATAACTTCCTGAAAAGAATGAACTAAAAAAAATATAAGAGGAATTTTCCAAAAAGTGTGATTATGTCCCCCCCAAATGTCAACATCTCCAAGCAGAACTGTCATGTTTTCTTTCACCTTGCAATACGCGCTGTCACCGTAGCGACAACAGTCATCTCACGGTGAAGAGTACAACCGTTCATACAGGTGTCGTGTGACCGTTTAACTTAATTTCTGACATGTCGTTACAAGACAAATATCATTTACCATGTAAGTACATCCTGGATACAATGACCCATAACTGTGCTTATCTTGAGACCTTTTTACATTTCACATGGCAAACCTGAAACAGAAAATTTAAAAAGACAAATGAAAATTGATTTCTAAAAATAAAATCCAAGGGTGAAAATTAAGTTTATTTATATAATTGGACAATCAAAGGGATTCAATGTCAAGGATTTTTTGCACATGTCCTCAAAGGGACTATAATAATTGTTTATTTTTTGTTTTTAATGATCGTTATAAATCCTTCTTAAAGTAGGGCGGTAAATTATTGACTGAAAATTACAGAGGGAGAAAAGCAATAGCTTCTTAGTAATTTTGGGTTATATTTTTAATCCCCTTCATAACTCGTTTAAATTGGGTTTCATTTAAAATTCGTGAGATGTTCATTTGCGGTTGTGATTCGTACTAGGATTTTAAGGATCGTATTGATTTTAAATGGGAATGCCAGGGTCAGGGACAGGGTTTTCACGGTCATAGTGATAAGGAGCTCTTGAATACTGTAAGCACCGTGACACGGTCTTGCGATCAGTGTCTTTGTCTGTTGTCAAAAGACTCACCCGAAAGACAACGGGAGTGGACGTACTACCAGGAACTGACTGACGACGGAGCTGGTGTCGAAACGAGGGTTGCCGTAGCGAGTCCCCCACTACAGCTCGACATCATCGGGAGGGGTCGCTTTCTCTCATTTACCAGCCGGTCTGGTTCATTCGAAAATTTCCCGCCCCATCTACCCACGAAATGACATATATTTCTTTTAGTATACCGGCTGACAACGAAGACGTAACGAAATTAGCAATTTCAACCTACACGGATACTCTGAACAATGTCTAATGACAGTTTCTAAATATTTTTCAAACGTTGAAAAACAAGTCTGCAAAACCTATGGACCTAAAGAATTGGCAAGATACAGCACACAGCATACCAACAGAAACAGTTACAAAATGCAATTTTAATTTTGCACCTATATGACAATTCAAATATGTCTAAGGCAGTTTCTAGATATTTTCCAAATGGTGAAAAACAAGTCTGCAAAACAATGCGGTGCCTCTATTGGACCTAAAGAATTGGCAAGATACAGCACACAACGTACCCATCAAAACACTTACGAAATGAAATTTTAATTTGATCCTATATGACCTTTCAAACATAGCCTAATTTCAATTTCTAGATATTTGGCATTAGTTTAAAAAACATGTCTGCAGTAACTGTTCACCCTGGGGGGGGGGTTCCCAAGTGGTTAAGGTGTCATACTCTCGGCTAGTAGATCCCGCGGTCGTGGGTTTGATCCCCACCTCTGGACTGACCCCTAAGGGGACTGGTGGCCACAATTGAAAGAAATTGACACTGATGATCAATGGTAGGGGCAGGTGACCCCCATCATGACCCCAAAATTTGGTCCCAACCCCCTTCAAAAATGAGTTTCTTCGATGGAAGAACACTGGCTCATATCCATTGTAAAAAAGATACGGTGCACAGTATACCAGTTGAAACCATTAAAAATCAAAATTTTCATTTTCCACGTATATGACCTTTTAAATATTATCTAAAGATAGTTTATAGATATTACAATTCATTTTTTTCTTCCTCTCTTTGGTTTTCTTCCTTTTTTTAAATTTCTTTTTCATACTTTTTATGTTCTTCTATAACAACCCCAAAATTAGCCTTAAGATTTTTTTTTACTGTAGCCATTTCAGTCTGAGACCCAGTTTCTAGTTCATATCCATAGATACATGTAATTTGGTTCATATCTAGGCTGATCTGTCAGTGGAGTTTCGGCATATTGCCGTCTTGTCTGATGGACAAACCCAGAGAGGATACACAGACAAAAATGATCAGAAATCACTTATTAAATTAATACAATTAAATAAACATGGAATGATTTTAAAAAATGCATATTTTAATGTAAGGTATTTTTTGCTGCTTAATTTTCTTAATTCCATTTTTATTTTTTGCAAAATGTTAAAACTACAAATTTTTTAGTTTGGTCATTGTTTTGATCTTTGCAACAATTTTTAGCTTCTCACCACCCTTAGTGCTGGGTTTATTATTAACATTATATTAATTATTATTTATGTCATGAAGCCGAAATTTATCTGACAGAATGGGCAGAATAGTGGTTCATCTACCTACCTCCACTGGATACAAAATATTATCAAGATTAGTAATTACGGTTTTTAGTTGAGATGAAAAAAAGTTAATGGCACGAGAGGGATTCGAACCCACGACCTTCGGCTAGATACGCCGCTGCTCTACCACCTGAGCCATCGTGACCTTATGGCACACAGCATACCAATTGGTATAGTTTCAAAATGAAATATGAACTTGTTCCTGTATGACCTTTTAAACGTTGTCTAAAGACTTTCTAGTTTTGCATAAATAGGAAAAATGGTGTCTATAGTAATTTTTTTTAATCCTGCAGCTCTGCTGACATATTTTTTATTACAATCTGAATTATAATTACATTACATTATGAGATATTAACAAGTAGCACAGATCTAGTTTAAATGCCCTGAAGGGAGTTAAACAATTGATTGTTCTTTTCTCAACTTTCCACAAGGACTAATCCTCGACAAGGAGGTCACGAGATCACACCATCTTCAGTCACCTAATATAAGGGTGGTTTCTATTAGATGATGAATTGACAGGAGTGAGATGATAGTTTATGTCGAACATAGAAAAGTTTCTGGTAATTGGTTTTTGGTGCATAATTTAAATATATTTGGAACCTCATTTAATGTATGCAAAAAGAAAATATGCAAACGATTGTCACGATTGTAATTAGTTTATTGATTTTTTATTTACTATTTTATTTTACTATTTGTATTTATTTATTTTAAATATTGCAATATGACTGTACTGTAAAGTAAATAAATAAATGATATTTGTTAATGATAGCACTATGAAATTCAGGCGATCTCTTATCCAAGATACAGCAGTCTCATTTTTTACTAGTGGAAAAAATATAGACAATTTAAAAAAAAAATATTTTTGTCCTTTAAAAAACTCAATACTATGTTTTCCTCTCTGCTTGTCTTTTTAAAATACCATGGAAATTTTTTTCTAAAGATTATTATATAAAATACACTGTTGGCTATAAATTAAACTGAAAAATCATTTTGAGATTATCAAAATAAAATCAATCACTGTAGAGTTTTATTGAACATTAATCTTTCCTTCAAACACACTTGTGATGAAAGGATTATCAACTTTATCTATAAGTTAAAATGAAAAAAGTAATTCGTATCAACCATCAGAGATTCCAAGTAAATACAAATCATTAAATTAGTCATAAATGGTGTGATGATTGATTTCCACAACTCCATAATTGAGTCTAAAACTTTTGTTTTATTTTCTTGTAACAAACATGATGAGCTTTAAGAGAAAAAAAAAATGTTTTGATCGACTACTCTGCTGTTTTCAGAGCTAAGTTAGTGCATCATATAAAGGTAAATTCAGTTTTTATTTTGTTTAATTATTAAATAATTTTGTTTGCTTGTTCTACTGATGCAGTCAAAATAATAAATTAGTGCAGATTGATCAATTCAATTGTTTTCAAATGAAATGTTGCGGATTGTTACTTGATCTTGTAATAAATATGATGATTTGGCAAGAAGAAATGGATAAACTCTAGGGGCGCTAGAAACTACTAGAAACAACCCTCGCCAAAACTGGCAAATTCATTGCTACAGTTGGAGAGGGACAGGCTCAGAGGAGTGATAGGACTATGAAGTGGTCACGAGCATCTGAGAAAACATCTGCACAACATAATGAAGAGGAAGAAACAGCCATCCATACCATCTTCGAATGTGAAGCAAAAGCTCAATGGAGATTCAATCTAACATAGGGAAAAAAACTTAGGGAATCAAATTGCAGCAACGACAGTCAATGACCTGATACTTCTAGGTAGAAGGATAGAGTCTATTGCGCTGAACTAAGGAACTAGGAAGGTACAATAAGCCAAAAGGCTGCAGTGCCTGGGGAGCGCAAATCCGGGTATCCTTTTTATCATACCATACCGTACCATATACCAACGGATCAAAGGACCTAGGTGGGACTGGTGCAGCTTTTTTCTGTGGAGACTGACTGTGTATGTTCTCTCGCAGCAACTATACCGCTGAGCTCTATGCAATGGATGAGTGCATTAAGAAAGTGACTACCTCGAGATTTCTAAAACTTATAAACTGACTCACAGTCAGCTCTGTTGAATTTGAAAAACATCTTTTTCCCCATCCTCTTGTGCAGAACGTTTTAAATGCACTGTACGTTCTGCAGTGCCGGAATGTAACGGCTCTCTTCCTTTGGGTACTTGGGCACAGCTGAATAGTTGAAAATGAAGCAGCAGGTAAAGCCGCAAAACAGGCGATAGAACATGGCAAGCCGTCAGGCTTTACTCTCCACGAAGATTTCATGCCTCACTTCAAAGAAATGATTTGGCTAGCGTGGCAGAGAGTTTTGTATGGAAATAGAAATGATAAAATGAGAGAAGTTAAACCCGAACCCAAATTTTGGGGATCTTCTTTTCGATCCTCAAGACATGAAGAGTTCGTGCTAACTCGTTTAAGAATAGGACACACAAGACTCACACCTGGCAATCTCATGACCTGGAAGAAGTGTGTAACATACCCATTACTACAGCCTGCAGAGCATACGAGGACAATAGGAAAAGTTGTATATGCCATACTGTCTCTCAAGAACTTCAAGGACATAACACCATAACAATTCAACAATTCAAAGAAATGATTTGGCTAGCGTGGCAGAGTTTAGTATGGAAATAGAAATGATAAAATGAGAGAAGTTAAACCCCAAGTCAAATTTTGGGGATCTTCTTTTCGATATATAAAATTGATCATCTAGTATTTTTCGTAGGATAAGGATAACTTCCAGTCCTTAAGTCCATTGGCCATGGTTGTAATATACAATACTGTAAAGAGCCGGCGACGGCTTAGGAACAGTAAAAGAAAGCAGGCCAGACGGTTGTAATATACAATGGGCATATACAATGATGATCCCATTTGCAGATGATGTAATGAGAAGGAAACAACAGCCACCCGTATCATCTTCGAATGCGAAGCAACCTAATGGATACATACCCTGTATACTGAAAAAAACCATTGTAGCAGCAACGGTCAATGAGCTGATACTTCTGAGAAGAAAGATTGAGTCGATTGCACTGAACTGGAGAACTAGGAAGATACAATAAGCCAGAAGGCTGTAGTGCCTGGGGAACACTAACCCTTCTTCCTAGTATCCTCCACCTATCAACATCATCAGTATGTCTACTGTCTTGTTGCATGAAATTCCCCCATGACCTGTGACCGACCTTAGAATCTTTTTAGAGTATTTAAGCAGTTCCAGACTAGCTTTGAATTTATCTCATATCTCCTTTAAAGCTGCCTAGCTATCTGATAGTATTATTATAATTGCACCCTGAATTGCATCACATTCATTTAATAAGTAAATAATTTTGTTTCGCTTTAATATTTTAATTTATTTAAATTCTATAAATGAAAATTTGAATATTTGTTTTCCCTTTTTGGCAAAAGAATTTTGTTGAAAATGTGTGCAAATTTTCTAAAAACGAAAAGTTTGTTGTATTTTTTTTTTTTTTGCGTTGAATTATTGAAAACAGTTAATTTTGTATTGCATTATTAATTATATTAAATTATTTCTGTTCTATTTTTCACAAATGAATATTAAACATGATTTTGGACTTTTATTTGTTTTTAATTGTATAAATCATTTAAACATTTTTCAAAAATATTTGTTCAACAGTTATTATGCATTTTCAATTTGTTTTAGGGTTAAATTAAATTATATTTAATAAATGGATTTTGTTTTTTTATTAAAAATGCTGCGTATGTGTTTTACCTGGAAGGAGACGTTCTGTGAAGAGTACCTCGGCGTGCAGATCCGTTCTGCGTTGAAGTCGTGATGCGCGGAAACGGCAGACGACGACGTCATTGGCCGAAGGAGCGACGTTCGCCTGGAAGTCGGCCGGTGACGTCGCATCCCTGCCAGGTGAAACAGCTGCTTCGCCTTTGACGGAGAAACGCGTTGGAGGAGACTTCGGTGTACTGCAACTAGCAACGGATGCTGACAGCGGGCGCACGAGCCAGTTTCGCCACTTCACCAGGCATGCACGTTCTTCCAGGCAGACAGCTGCAGAAACGAACCGGGCCAGAGGAATTATGAACCCACTTCTTTGATCTCTCCTTGACCGGAGCCATGTCAGGCAAACGGCTTCTCGACCAGATTCGTCACTACCAGAAGGACATAGAAAGATGTCCAGAAAACACGGAACGCGTGAGTATCGCCCTTTTTTTTACCCTTCACACCAAACTTTCTAAATAGTTTTTTATGTTTCGACCAAAATACCAGACGTCCTTATCTTTCCCATCCCATTTTTTCCTATTTGCACAAAATTACAATCACCAGAAGCATTTCGGCAGATCAAATTCTGGTCATCTATTCTTTTAAGGTGAATCCTTTAGGTTTGCAACTTGCCATTTTATGCTAGTTATGATCCTTAATCAGCTATAACGGAAATTCTTTTATCTTTGACAAACTAGGCCAGTTGAAATAACTTACCTTATTCTTTCAATTAATATAATTATGAAAGCAAATTATTTTCAGTTCACATAAAGCTAACTATAATAAAATCAGTAAAGATGGATGAATAAGCGTTTTGTAGCCTTTCATGTAACACCAGCCATGTTTCCAGTGCAAAATAAACTTTCTATGGGAAATTTTAAGAAATAAGAATCAAAACTACTTCTGCATACTGGAAAATGTAATTGGAAAAGGTTTAGAAATCCCAATTGCAAGGTTTAGAGAAAACTTGATAATCTAGGCCAAGATCACAAGCCACAAGAGAGTCTGTTATCCTCTTCTGCCCTGAATTAGAGACATAAATTGTAATTTTTAACTAGCAGAAGTCACAGCAACTTGATTAAAGAAAACTAGACTAAGATCCGGATTGATTTACCAGCTAAGATTCAGTACAATTAAGCTTCAGCTTCGTCCCCTTGAGGACGTGACCACCATATTTGGTAGGATCGGGGATGTTATCCAATGAATGTTTGCCATGCCAAGCTTTCGATGTTTTATTTCACTTCCCTCAGGGCTAGATTCTCTGTCAGTATTTAAAATTGTTTTCTTTTATCAACATTTTTCTCTCTTTTTGTCATTTCTTATACTAAATACAATGTTTTTTAATAAATAAAGGTGGCCGCAACGGTTTAGGCGTTGACACTGCGCTAATTACTGTAAGGTAAAGATCCAGGGTTCGAATCCAGCGGCTCTGCATTCGAACCCGACATACTTGCAAATGTTTTTGTTTTTTTCCAAAAACACTGGCACCCTGAGGGTTGATATTACTTCTGCTGTTCTGAACCTTCGTAAAAATAAATAAATATATGACACCTTTGACAAACTATTATCACAGACCTAGAAACGACATTCATTGGACCATATCCCCGATCCTACCAAATATATTGTTGATTAACAGCTGGTTGGTTAACTTTACATCAGTGACCACAACATTTCAAAATTGATAGTTTTACCGATGAAATAAGAACCTTCAGATTTGTGAGTGCCTGAATTGCCTAATAGCTCTGGGAAAACAGAACAAAATTACTTCCCAGGCATGAAGACATAGAAGGAACAGGCTAACTATCCTAAAAAAGGTCGTCCCCTCACCCATGGGATCCCACAACTCCCGGATGTGTACTTAAGTTGGAACTGGAAAAATGGCTTGAGAAAGAAAATCTCAAATGCTGGATAAACGCACCAGGCAAAAGACAAGCTAAGAGATTTATAAATCTCGTAAAAAGAAAGGTGAAGGAACTTAATCTCAGCAGACAGGATTTGAGAAAAATCATAAGCCTCTGTATCAGTCACTGCCCTCTTAACTATCGTCTGAAGAAGATGGGCAAAGCAGAGAGAGAAACATGCCATCTCTTTCGGGAGGATCCAGAGACATCGGTACGTATTAGTTAAAGTGAAGCATTAGCCCAGTTACCCACCAGTCACTTCGGTAGAATATTTCTCACATCAAAAGAGGTCCGGGAAGTGTCACCAAGGAAAGTGCTTAGTCTTATAGGAAAAAGCTCATTTTTCAAAATGCAAACCTTATAGGGCTGTAATTTATAGGCGTTCCACAATAGATCTACTTAGGTTGCAGTAGAGGAAAGGATTGTCATAATTCTTTATCAACCTCAAACCTTAAAAAAATACATATATAAAAAAAATAAAAATAAAGATGTGTATTATATATATTATGCAGGGAGGGCGACCAAGACCTGAGGGGTTAAATGCCTGGTTAGACTCGTACACCATCCCTAAGAAGTCCAGGACTTGGTCGCCTCACATGTCCTGCATAAATCTCTTGGACCTATTCACAAACCCCAAGATTTTGGACCATTTAATCTTGGGGAGTGATTTGGTGATGTCCGCTCCTTCAAAGATTTCAAATCTAGACCTAGCATACCTATTGCACTCTGCAAGGTAGTGCCTTGCCGTTTCTTCTTTTATTTTGCAAAAACTTTCTTTTTTAGATCGTATTTCTACTAGGAGGTTATTTGAACCCTTAAATACGCCGGTGTTTTTGAAAAAAGCCCATTTGTAAGTATGTCGGTTTGAACATAGGGCTGTTGGATTTGAACCCGGGACCTTTACCTTCCAGTGATGAGAGCCATGTCAATACCTAAGATCAAGTTTAAATTGGTATATCTAAGAAATGGGTATTAAACTAAGTAGGCATAATGTGAAATGTAGCCATAAAAATTCAAAATTACTAATTACAAGCTATGAGAAAACTATATATTTATGCCAAGTTGTGCCTTATGATGGGAGAATCATTTTTAAAGCTGGTCTTCTAGAACTACTTAAGATGCTACTACTAAATCAGAATACTTTCAACATTAAAATGAATTTTCTAACTAGAAAATGTACAAAACATGTAATAAGATAAAGAGTAATTAGAAATTGTACTTCTATAATATCATGGTACAAATGCAAGAAAAGAAATTGGAATAGAATTAATACTGTTTTGGATAGGTAACGTTCAAAATCAGATTATAATATGATTAAAATATACTTTGAAACCAGAAAATGTGCAACATTAAAAATTATGAGCTAAAAGAAAGCTAGATATTCTATTGTACGAGAGAATCTCATCCAGGTCTGTCGATGCATGTCTAAGGCCTAGTACGCACTGAGATTCTTTGAATCGATTCATTGTTGCGATGCAGCCCCGACTCTGCGCCGCAACAAAAAACCGTGTCCAGACCAAGATTCAGTTCACATTCATCAGTGCTTGCGAAAATGACTGAGGAACTAGCTCTCAGGAATTTCCCTTGCTCTTTTTTGCATTGTACGTAGTGCATCCAATTGGAAATGCAATAAAAACTGTCCTTTTAAAGTGTGCATTTTTTTTTTTCAATTTTGGCGACGGAAACACTGAATTTTTGGGTTAAACCGTTCAGTGTTTGGCTTTTCAATTCCCGATTTCTGTATTCCGTGAATGATACATCCCAGAAACACCGATGGGGAATGCATGTTTTCAATAAACTGTAAAGTCAACTCGGTACTCCACAACATACCTTTATACAAGACAGTATCAAAATCTTCAAGAAAACACTCATTAGAACTTCAACTAAACAAATGAAGTCCGATTCACATCCGCACTGGCAAATCTTGCGCAATATTGTGTCAAAGAATCCCACATCGAATGGGATTCAAAAGAGTTCGAAAATGCTAGCCCGCAACACACCAGATTCATCGCAACAATGAGTCAAGGCAGCCCAGGCTCAGGCTAGACACAGTCGAGACTGTCCGGTGATTCAAAGAGTCAACTCAAAGAATCCCAGTGCGTTCTAGGCCTAATAGGCAAAACTTGCAAGAATACTGGTCAGGATGATCAGGGGGACCCCATTTCACAAATTAAAGTGGTGGTCTGCGCACTTATATTTTCAGTGACTACATTATGCTAATTGCATGTGTTATACATACAATTATACATTACATAATGCAGCTATTACAAAATGTGAAATATTTTGGTTAAAACAATTAAACGCTAAAAGAAAAACAAATATTTCCTGCTCTGCTATTCTACGAGAGAATCTTTGAACTCGGTAAATATTTGAACTGAGCCGGTCAATCAACTTATATCAGCATTTATAATCAAAAAATTTCTGATTGCCGTTATTACCAGGCCTTATAAGGTTGTTAGAAAACCTGACTATTAATCATTTATACAAAAACAATTTCTCAGAGATTAAAGATACTTAACTAGGCCAACTTAGATTATTTAATTCTGGTAGTCTAATTTCCACACTTATTTATTCAGGGATAACTGTTTCCACCCGATAGGGAATGCTGCAACTTGCCATTCATACTTTGACTTTCCGTCTTTACAAAAAAATCAAACATGAATTAGATCAGCTCACTTATTTTATTTTTACAAGGATAGTAATTTCAATAACATCATTCAATTTAATTGTGAGATGTCCTTGTGGTTTTGGTATCTTCAGGTGGCAAGGAGCCAAAAAACATCTGAATAACCAAAACAAAACGCAAAATTGCAAATTAATGTTGTTAATTGACTGTTGTCTAGCTAGAAGCACTGATGAAATTAGCAAAATGCTGAAATGTCTAATAGATAAAACCATAAAATTCCACCTCTGCACAATTTTAAAGTTAAGACCGGGAAAAAAATTTAGGTCATTCTCAAGAGAATCTGATTTTATTGTTTGAATTGGCAGCCAGTGGATCAGGGTTTCTAACCAAATTCATCTGATCTGAAGTGATCAATTATGTATTCTGGGCTAGTAAATTATTTATGTCTGATGTTTGATAGTTATCTGTGCCAGTTTAGGTTTCACGTTACACTTGATCGAGTATCTTAATATAAATGATAGTTGTGGCCTTCTAGAATTATTGGGTGTCCATTTTATCTAGATTATTTACAGAATAAGAATATTAAAAAATATCGTCCCATCAAATTAAGATTGCAAAATAAAATGTACCTTACTAAAATTTTCTCCATGTGACTGTCACCTTTAGTTCTACATCCTTCCAGAATGCCTTTAGAAGGTAAAAGTTTGAAGAAAAAAATTTCACAGAATTTGAAATAGAAAACTGAACCAATTATATATTTAACCTATAGCTGTCTTGAATCTCAGTACCAGTCGAATTATAGAAATTGCTCCTGTTGAAATTAACATCTGTTCTAATACAGACAGAAAGAGAAACAATGCTATTGAAGGGGTATTTGATAGAAACAACCAAAAAACAGGATTTGTCTTCAGACCACAGAGAATGTTTAATCTCATTAAGTGCTTATACAAAACAGACGAATTTCTATAACTTAAATCACAATATCTTTTTGTTTGTTAACATTGATCAAAGATTCTTAACTGTGATGTTCAGTTGTAACTTCATTACTTGAGCGTCTTGTCAATACATGCCTTCAATTTTGGGTATTGAGAAAAGAGAAAGCAGAAAAAGGAACGATGCTGCTTGAATATCAAAGAAGTGAAAGTTGAACATCAAATGTCTGATTTGACAAACTTCACATGTTACCAATAATTTATTAGTTCATAAATTAGGCCATAATAAATTAACATGGTCCACACTCTAATTCTCACATGCTTATTAGATATAAATTCATATTAAAGAAAAAATCAGGATATTGTGAGGTAAAAGAAAATAATTGAATTTGACTGAAAACAGAGCTGTCACTGTTAGATCCAGCCATAATAAAATTCTTAGTGGTCAGATTGCATAACCGAGTCATCCGAGTAAACATGGTGTTCTGAAAATATAAAAGGATAGATAGCTCTCTTTTCGTGAAAACAGCAAAGATAATCTATTATCTGTTAATGTAAAAAGGAAAGATCTCATGATGTAAAAGGAAAAGATATAATTTGCTGTCAAAAATGAAAGATAAACCACTATATTGTGACGTCAAAAAAAAGAAAAAGAAAGATAATCCTTTATATCATGTAGTTTGCTGTCAAAAAAAAAAAAAAAATTGGTAAATACTACAATTAATTAAGGTTTTTAGTTGAGATGAAAAAAAGTTAATGGCACGAGCGGGACTCGAACCCATGATCTTCAGCTAGATACGCCGCTGCTCTACCACTTGAGCTATCGTGACCTCGATCCACTCGGACATCAACTTCCTATCTCAACCCCACCTTATGAGTTTTCCCTCCTTTTTGCCATTTTTCGACTGGGTTCGAATCCCGCTCGTGCCATTAACTTTTTTTCATCTCAACTAAAAACCTTAATTAATTGTAATGATTTAATTGGTCAAGCGGACCACGAAATTAGTGAATTGGTAAATACTTTCGTCCTTTTATCTAGCCAACACTTGATTAAAAAATGTAAAATACTATACTTATGTTATAAAAAGGAAGGAGAGTCCTATATATTTTGATTTAAAAAAAAGATAAAAATTACCACGGTGGCCAAGTGGTTAGGGCATCTGACTCGGCTGTTCTGGATCCAAGTCCAGACATAGCCCATGGAATTTTATTTGTGATTAATTTAGAAAAAAGCATTGTAAAAGGTAGTTGGACGTTTAGCTCTCTTGTATGGCAGGAATTAATTTTTCCTGCCATACAAGATGTACTAGCTTACGACATAAGAAAGAAAAACAGTATCCTGTTGTATAATTTGTTGTCGAAAAGGAAAGATAATCCTGTATATTTCAATGTTGAAAAGAAAGCATTTAATGCTCTATAGTTTGTCGTAAAAAAGAAAAGTAATCAGTTATACTTTGACTGGTTTTTGGATCTTGTCCACATCATCTACTTGTTATGAAAAAAAAAGAGTAAAACTGTACTATACTTTTCATGAAAAAGAAGAAGATAATATCACTATATTTAATGGTAAGGTGATAGTAATATAAATCATTATATTTCAATGTAAATAAGAAAGTTATACTGTCTTATCTTTTGGTGTTTATTGGGACCGCGGTGGCTGAGTGGTTAGGGTATCTGACTCGTCACACTAGCTGTTCTGCGTTTGAATCCCAACACTTTGGAATTTGATTTGTAATTAATTTACTAAAAGTATTGTACGGTCTGACCCTTCGTCCACAATACCCGATGGGTAGTTGTATATTAAACTCTCTTGTTTGACAATAATTACTTATTTTACTATCTTTGATGTAAACGGCAGTTTCTAACAACAAATTGCCTAAGAATCAGTTCTAGATTGTGCCAATGTATGTTGATGATATCACTTCTCCAGATATTCTGCAAATTTGCTGTAAGTCGGCATGTCTTGGCAATAGCTGCATACACTTTGCAAAATGACAAGCATACCAGTTGATCCTTTGGCGGAGGTGCTGCAGTCTTCGATACCAGCCGTTTGGAACAGCTTTTTAGAGATGGGAGTCCCTACAATTGTTAGAGCAGGGAACAATTGTACTCAAACAGATCCGCACTTGCCGGTGACCTTCCGAGGCACTTGACGACCCTTCCCGTTTTTTAACTTTTGACCTGATTTGATCAACCAAGCTCTCACAGGCTTAGGTTTCAATGAGGAAAATCCGTTGAGAAAATTTTCAAGAGAGTAGAAGGACTTAGAAGAGTGATTAAGAGCCGATCAGATTTAGGGTTAGGTCAGATTAGGTTAGGTTATGATTAGGTCAGATTTACATGATTTGTGTTCACCGATTTGCAGACCAACAACCACCACCTAGCCAATGACGTTGAAGAACCAATTTGCAAATTATTGTTCATAATTAGTTTTATATATTGACTTATATTTATTTATTGGTGAGACCATACATCAAACAAACTTGCTACACTTATTTACATATCTTGTGGGTTGTCCATTTTATTAGGTTTCGAAATGTATTTAATTGTCTGAATCCTATTTTTTATTATGTCTTCCACAATAGATATGCTGAATTTTTATTTATTTTTTCCAGATGATAAGATGCATTCAGAGGCTCTATGTATTGCCAATTTTGGTCCAACATTTACAAGAGACTGGAGTCGGGAGGAGCGTCAACGCTCTCCGAAAATACAATGGGGAAGTTGGGAATGCTGCGAAAGCTCTCGTTGCAAAATGGAAAGCGATGGTTGCTGCCGAAGAGATGAATGAAACCGAACCCGAGGTATACGAACCTAAGCAGCCTGAAGCGAAAGTCAGTCCTCCTGTTTCAGTGAAACACAGGGAAACCGAAAAGAGTGAAAAGAACCACAGAGATAAAACTAAAGAGAAACATAAAGAACATGATAAGTCAAAAGATAATTATAAGAAAGAAAAAGAAAAATCTAGTTATAAACATAATGTTAGTAGTAAAAATCATTCAGAAACTAATGGCGAAACACACAGAAGTGAGAAACATCACACGTCCAAAAGATCTCACTCTTCGTCGGTTTCAAATGTTGAACATAAATACGATAGGCATAAACATTCTCGAAGGGAGAAAGTTTCTTCTGATGAGGATAGCGATAGCAGTCCAAGTCTAAAAAAGAGCAGGAAGCATAGTCCAAAACATGAACATAAAAAGCGAAAAGTGGTCGAGGAAAGTGCATCAGATGAGAGCGAAGATGAAAGCGATTCAGACAACGATAGAGAAGCGGCAAGTGAAAGTTCTCAGTCTTCAGATGATCAAGAATCCGAAGAGGAAGCGGAGGAGGAAATCGAGGAACAAGAAGTAGAGGAGAGCTCAAAATCAGACTCTGAAACTAGTGAGAGTGACAAATCCAGCGATCACAGGCACAGGTCGAAACACCATAAGTCATCCCATCATCACAAGTCTAGTCATCATGACAAACGAAGCCGTTCGAGTTCAGACTGTAAAAAGAAAGAATCAAGCTCCTCATCATCTAAAGAAAAAAATTCAAAGGATCTAAAAGAATTGATACAGGCTAATGAGAAAAAAGTGAAAAAAGAAAAACTCAATTCTAAAGAAGGGTCTAGCTCAAAAAGTAGCAAGCCTTCCAAAGTCAAAATTGAAAGGAATGAAGATGGAAGTATTGACCAAGGATCAGGTTTGTTTTATCTTTATCTATGCTGTTAAAAAAATATTAAATTGTAATCTTTTTTTTTTTAGTTTGATTTTATTAATTATAAAATGGTTTATACAATAAAGTTGTTCTTTTAGGCGCTAGTTTTGCAGATGCCCTCATGGGTGTAGGCTACGTTGCAAAAAAGAAAAAGAAACCAAAAGAAGAAAACTCTCCTAAAAGTTCGAGTTCATCGAAATCATCTAAGTCGAAATCCTCCCACAATTCTTCATCGACGTCATCATCCTCACGCAATAAATCCTCCTCTTCCACCTCTTCAAGCCAAGACGGTTTCAAAATGCCTGAAGCCCTCAGCAAGCCTGTCAAACTCGAGCCTCTCAATTTAGATATTGAGAACACCCTGCCCGAAATCCTTCCTAATTACAAACCGCTTCCTCACATACCCGAAAACATCCGAAGGAATTCAAAGCCGATGTCTGAAGAAGACACGATGTTGTCTCTTATGACTACTAAGAATCTGAGGTATTATCTTATTTCTTTATTTTTTCATCTTTATTATTTATAAAGTATTAAGAAAAATGGCAAAAAGGAGGGAAAATTCAAAATGTGCGGTTGAGATGGGAAGTTGGTGTCCGAGTGGATCGAGGTCATGATAGCTCAAGTGGTAGAGCAGCGGCGTATCAAGCCGAAGATCGTGGGTTCGAATCCCCCTCGTCCATTGACTTTTTTATCTCGACTAAAAACCTTAATTAATTATAATATATTAATTGGTCAAGCAGACCATGAAATTAGTGAATTTAATGATTAAAAAAACGAAGTATACTTCACTAAAGCTCTCCGTGGCCATTTCATTTGTCGTCGAGAATCCAATCCGATTACACATTTGAAAAATGGCAAAAAGGAGGGAAAATTCAAAAGATGCGGTTGAGTTGGTGTCCGAGTGGATCGAGGTCACGATAGCTCAAGTGGTAGAGCAGCGGCGTATCAAGCCGAAGATTGTGGGTTTGAATCCCCCTCGTGCCATTGACTTTTTTATCTCGACTAAAAACCTTAATTAATTATAATATATTAAGAAATAAGTTGGATTTAAATTCCAGGACCAAAGTTTACTCTGGTGCAAAATTCGGAGTCTATCATCAAGTGCCTTCCTTATACAATCTTTGCTTGCAGCTTCTGTCTGCAAACATCGATGGTAAATAATTCCAGCAATTTTTAAACCTAAAAAAAAAACAACTAGATATTTATTTATTTCATTTCAGCTTTGGAGTTCACTGGTGGTGTTCCTTACAACATTCTTAAACCATTATTAGAGAAACTGAATGCAGACCAGTTATATGTAGTGGAACATTATAATCCGTACCTAATAGAAGAAACTGATCCTCTTTGGCAGTTCCACTGCAAGAAAGACTTTAGAGGGGAACAACGACAGGAAATGGAATCTTGGAGGGATCTTTACTTGGTTAGTTTTTTTGTTTTTTATCCCACCTACCTGAAACATCGATATTTATTAGTGTTAACTTTTAGAGATGCATGGATGAAAGAGAGAGAAAATTAAAAGCTGTAACTTCAAATATACACCATGCTATAGCAAAGTCGACTCCAGTGAGAACAGCGAAGCTGGCGTATGTTGACAGTGTTGTTAAACCTCCACGAAATATTGCAAGAAAACAGGTAAATTATTTGAAAGAAAGTAATCTAATTTTTATTATTAAAAAAAATTACATTTTTGGTATTTCAGGCTAAATTTGGAACTGCTATCTCTTCATCTTCGGCTTCATCTTCAAGCAAACCTTCGTCTAGTTCTGATACAAAACACCAGCTTTTGGCTAAAGCGGTAATCGGTGGCCATACGCCTGGTGTCCAAGCGACAACGACAGTTCCTGCCCCTCCTCACTCTATTTCCAGGGGGACACCTCAAATAAGTAACTAATGTTCTTTTTCAATTATGTCAACATGATTATTGTATTTTAATTTTACACGGTTATTTATCTTTTAGTGAAGAAAAAGAAGGCACCGTTAATGGCCAAGGCATTACAACTTATAAAAGGAAACCGATTCAAACGATGAACAGTGTTTTGAAAACATTGATGTTTTCAAACCAAAGTCTTGTTATTCATGTTTAATGTTGTTGCACATTTTGGAGATCGTCTATTCTTATATTACCTGAGAAAAACCGTAATAGTTTTAAATATTTAAACTTTAATGTTGGAAGAAATCTTTAGACTATCGATTTTATCAAGCTGTATCTTCCTGTTTTGTGATTTTATTTAATATTTTTCCTTTTGTAATTTTAATTTGTGATGGCAACCTAATGTACATAAAATAATTTTGTGCAGTTTTTATGAATATTGAGTAAAATATTAAAACAGACTTTTTCTTTTTTGTTTCTTTTCTAACTATGATCATTGTCAAAAAGTAATTTATATACTGGGTAATCCGGTTAGGTTGGATACACAATTTTGTGGGGACTGTAGAGGACCAGAGAGTCATCCGATTCGTACACCTAAGATCTGGGATTGAATCCCAGCAGAGGCCATAGACGAGTTAATTGGCCCTCCAAAATAAAAGGAATATAGTTTTCATTCAATTTTGCACAAAGGCTCTGCGTCTTAGGTTCAATTCTTACCATTGCCCCAGGAATTTTTGATCCATCCCACTACCACCAAAAATGTATTAAAAAATATGAACGTGTGGTGATTAGTGACCGTTAATCGATAATTATTCAGAAATCGTGAGATGCGGTCTGGTGTGATGTAGGTTTCAGAAAAACATTTTCTTTATCGTGTCAACGTTTCGATCTTTATTGAGATCATCTTCAGCGCCTGGGATTTACAAACATTGTTTACCATTAACAAATACATTTAGGGTGTGGAAAAGTGAATTTATACAATGCAAAATATAATTTGATTGAATATAAAAAATATATTTTGCATTGTATAAATTCACTTTTCCACATCCATGTACTTGTTAAATGTAAACAATGTTTGTAAATCCCAGGCCCTGAAGATGAACTCAATAAAGATCGAAACATTGGCGCGATAAAGAAAATGTTTTTCTGAAACCTACATCACACCAGACCGCATCTCACGATTTCTGAATAAAAATACGAACTTTGAGTTAATGTGGTAAACATGATTCCTTTATATTAGAATATATATATTTAACTTGGTACTAATTTACTTCTTTGGGTAAGAAGCACAAAGGCCAAAAAGAAAATTGGAAACTCGAGGTGGACTGGACAAGGTCTCTTAATGCACCGCGAGAAGGAGGTAAGCCTTTAGTATTTTAATCATTTAATATCTAAAATAATACTGTTTTTCTAACAATGTTTGTTTTTATTGTTATTTTAAATTGCTGTTATATCAGGGTTATAACTAGAGGTGTATAGTGAAGATACGGGTCATTCTTAATGCACTGTGTTATGTACTCGGCAGAATTTGTCTGGAGGCACCACCATGCTCTGATCGGAAAAGGATCATAAATTGGATGATCTCAGAAAAAGTGCTGATTGGTTGCTAATTTATGATGAATGAAGGAAAGGAATAATTAGGATGTTCCAACCGTCATGGACTGTACCAGCCCAGAACAGGAGTGAAAGAGCTATTGGTCTCACCAAGCTCATGTTGGTCCATGCTCAGTTGACACATTGTCATCAACACGAGCCAAAACATAAACAGAAAGATATTTTGTATCCAACCCATTTACACTTAATATTCAAGCAATTGTATGCCAGTGATTTATCCATTAAGGTGATACACAAGGAAGCTTCGGACCTTCCTAATATTCAAGAAGTCATACTGCTAGTTTTGTACCCCAGATATTGTTTTTTGTTTTGCAGAACTTGCAAAATTGAACCCACTAGCCTTGTCTAAAAGAAATGGTGCACAACCAAGCTTCAAAGAGAAAGACCATCCTACTCTGCATGACTTTTATTACAAAGATATACTAACTTCCTCCTGCCTCACTGTAGTGCATACTCGGTACAATTATTCGCAATTTGAGTGTAGGTTATCAACAAACACCATTCTAATCTGATTGGAAAATATGTCATTCTCAAAATACTGTCTAGTTTTGCTGATGCTTAGGTACAGAAGGAAAATAAAAGCCAGGATGTACCACCATCATTTATAATACAATTAATTAAGGTTTTTAGTTGAGATAAAAAGTCAGTGTCACGAGCGGGATTCGAACCCACGATCTTCAGCTTGATATGCCGCTGCTCTACCACTTGAGTTATCGTGACCTCGATCCACTCGGACACCAACTTCCCAGCTCAACAGCACCTTTTGAATTTTCCCTCCTTTTTGCCATTTTTCACCTTTGGATCGAGGTGGTCATTCCATTTGTCGTCGAGAATCCAATCCGATTACACGACATTTGAAAAATGGTAAAAAGGAGGGACGATAGCTCAAGTGGTAGAGCAGCGGCGTATCAAACCGAAAATCGTGGGTTCGAATCCCGCTCATGACACTGGCTTTTTATCTCAATTAAAAACCTTAATTAATTGTAATATATTAATTGGTCAAGCGGACCACGAAATTAGTGAATTTAATCATTTATAATGTTGAACTGTACCAGACAAGTTTTTAGGTATGATCGGCGTAAGTAGTCGATGACCTTTTAAAAGCCTGAGTCAAAGATCAATCAGTTTCTCTAGACTCAGAATAGGTCATACTCAAAATTGCATGGTGCTTTCTATAAATGGTCTTGTATCCAACCCAAATTTAATGGCAGGGTCAAAGCTTGGCTCTATAACAGTGCCATAGTTGTATTTCTGGGTATTTTAATAATTTTGAATTAATAAGGATTTCTATTGTAGTTTTTTTTTTCAAATATGTATGAATGTATTTATTAGCATGACAGTTCAATATGAAAAGGTGGACAAAAAATGTATTAATACTCCAATGACCCATATTTAGGGTTTTTATATAATGATGTTCGTTGGGGCCTTCAGATTAGTATGCTGAATAGCAAAGCATTCAGGCAGCATACATTCAGGCCAATCTGACACTTTTTGAAATTATTATTCAGAAATCGTTAGCTGCGGTTTGTGATGTAGGCTTCAGAAAAACATTTTCTTTATCGTGCCAATAATTTGCAATCCCTCGAAGTGTCTTTCAAAACCCACCAAATACAAACTACTTACGACAAAAAAAGGTTTCAAGTTTATGACTTAATTTGGTTAACTTACTTGTAATAATTATTTTGTCAAATATACAAAAAAAATTAAATTAATTAAAAGTTAGTAAGGTTTAAAGTATTCTAGCATGTTCAAAAATTAAGTCATTTATTTGAGATCGTGTAACATATTTTGAATTAAGTTCTGAACCAATGTGACATTGGGAACACTGAATTTTAAACAAAACTAAATTTGAAGTAAAATAATGAAAAAGGAAAAATGCACAACCATAGGTTTCAAGTTAATATCAATAAAATGAGTCTTAACAACAAAATGGAAGGAATAAAATAAACATCACATAGCTAAGAATTTACAGAAAGTCTAAAAAATATAACAAGTTACCTAGTAGTTTTTACAATACATTTTTTTTCTTGAAATTTTAAGGGCAAAACTTCCTTTCGAAAAATTCAAAAAATAAATAAATTACATATGTACATTTTAAAAACTTCTTCATTTAAGGAATTACAGAAAATTTATTTCTGAACGCCTACGGCAACTAAAGTGTTTTTCTGGGAATATTGAAGGGAGAGCAATGTTGAACATTTTGTGTGATACGTTTTTGATGTGATGTCACCAGTGCTATAACAAAAAGTTAAATGAGTAAAGTACACAGCAAAGATATGAGAAAAAAAAATTACCAGGCTTGTTCATTGTCAAGAGACCAAAGCAGGACAACACCGTCGTAACAGGCCGCTGCGACTGTTGACCCATCGTGGCTCCAATCAACTGAAACTACTCGCTTCTCTTGACCGGCAAGCTGGAATAGAACGGAACCAGTCGCAATGTCCCAGATCCATACCGACTTGTCGTCCCCACCGGACGCAAGATATTGTCCATTGGGGCTGAACGCCAGAGAATAAACAGCACCTTGGTTCTGGAGACCACCCATCACCCTCACCATGTTACCGTCGGTGACAGACCACAGCCGAACTGTCTTATCAACTGAACCCGTGGCAATGTAACTCCCATTCGGATGAAACTTGACACACTATAATCAAAAGTGTTTGTTTAGAATAGTGAGGAGAGATCCTTAAAAATAAAATAAAACCAGTAAAAGATTGGATAAATTCTTATAATTTATTACTTTTTGAGGGAGAGTTAAGAAAGTGTAAGTTAAACGTTAAACTTACAGTAACGTCGTTTAAGTGCCCGGCCATTATCCTGAGAGGATAGGTCATCTCTAGGCTCCAAACTCTGGCTGTCTTGTCCTGAGAAGCAGTAGCGACATAGTTTGATATCGGAGAAATGGCTACACCCCAAATAGGAGAAGAGTGGCCTCTAAATTAAAAAAAAAAGGTCCATTTATTTGAATAACAACACAAAATGTACCTTATTACCTGTAAACTGCCGTACAGGAAAAGTCGTTTAACGACCACAGCCTCATTGTAGTATCAAACGAGACAGATACTAAAAATTCAGTGTCACTTATGAAGGACAAATCATAAACTGTATCACTGTGACCTCTTAAAAACCAATTTTGTTTTTCGATTCTAAAAAAGTTTAAAAAATAAATATACTAGGAATTAATATTAAGTTTAAAATGGTGCATACTGTGCTAAAGATTCGTCAATGAGCTTTGTGTCCACAGCTAGTTGCACTGAAGAAAAATAACTGGGATGGAGCTTCGGCATGAGCTTAGTTTCGCCAAGGCCCCACACTCGAACCTGTGACTTGTGATCGCCAGTTGCAGCGAGCCTTCCCTCGGACGACACTCTTCCACAGACGATTCTAACAAATTCCAGTTCGAGTTACACACAAATTTGTTGTTGGTTTTTTGACATTACCCTTCGGCTTTGTGCCCTCTGTAAACCAACAGCGGTGGAGGTGGAGTCGACTGCATTCTCTTGTTGTTAATTTCCCTAAGAAGTTCCTCCATTGTTTTATCTTTATAAGGTACATAAAATCCATCGCCATATATAGTCTCCACGGTGGATTTAGACGTTTCCTGTAAAATTTACGCCAATAAATAATTAAATAGAAACATTTTTTATCAATATTTAACTCACTTCATCCGTGTCTGTTTCATTGTTCAAAACATCTTCTGTGAGTATTGTAACATCAAAGTAGGAATGGAGAGGCTTAAAAATATTAAAAAATAGAATTAATTGAAATAATTAAAAAAGGTCAATTATGACTGCTAAACATATGGATTAATATGCCTTAAAAATATTGTTACTAAAAATAACTAATTCACTTGAAAAAATAAAGGTAAAATAATTATAATTACTGGTATTAAAATATGAAGACTATTCTTTGTTAAAAATGTTCTTAAAGCTGATATCGAGCAGGGGCTTAGTTTTAAATCACATTTGCAATGCCTAAAATCATTAAAAATTAATTTAAAAAACATTCTTTCTTAATCGCGATTTTGATTTGACATACCTGAAGTACCAAACTTGAGGATGAGATGCCAGGTCCTCAGAGTTGTGAACTGTTAGCAATTGTTCAACCAGGGGAAGCCAGTCATTGTTCATTGGTGGTAGCATTTTCTTAAGAAACTTGGCGCACGACGCTTTCGAATGGAGTGCCAGGCTGTCGAGATACAGGTGGCACAGAATCGGCATTATTAATTGTGTCAGTTCGACTCGGACCTGATGCTCCCGCAGACTCCTCACCCATGATTTCAACCTGTTATTTAAAAATTTTGATATGTTTAACCTCTCTATGTGCATTTTCTCAAAAAATGGACACTTTCTATTTGGCTGACATGTTCTTAATGATTAATAAAAAATTATTGTAAGATGAGAGGTTTTACGTAAAATTGTTTAGCATAACTTTTTAACGTGTAAAATGCGGATGAACTTCAGGGAAGCCAACGTATTCCAACCGGCAGGTCGGCTGACTGTTGGAAAGTTTGTTTTTTTTTTTAATATTACTTATAAATAATACAAAAATGTATTGTAAACAAACTTAAATCACAGACGCAAGATGGTCAAATCTTTTAAAATATTATATGTATAATAAATTATAATTTTAATACAATATGAAATGCTTTTTAATTTTTTTATTTTATATGGATAATAAATTATAATTTTAATACAATATGAAATAAGCTTTTTAATTTTTTTTATATATGGATAATAAATTATATTTTAATACAATATGAAATAAGCTTTTTAATTTTTTTTTATTTTATATGGATAATAAATTAATTTTAATGCAATATGAAATAAGCTTTTTAATTTTTTTTATTTATTTTTTTACGAGGGTATTTCAACTACAAGTTTATATGAACCCTCAGGGTGCCGTTTTTTTAAAATCCTATTTGTAAGTATGTTGGGTTCGAATGCAGGGCCACTTAATCGGGGATCCAGAGTTGGGCGTAATCGATTAATTTTTTTTAATCACAATTAACAATTAATTAATTGTCAAACTATTCACAATTAAAAAGTTAATCATTAATCGTTAATCAGATTAAACAATCAATTTATTGATTAATTAAATTGTCATTCAACGTAATTATTTACATAATGATGCCGCGCCGCGCTTTTACTCATACAATTTTTGACAACAAAAAGTTCAACATTCACCATTTAAAGGCTAGATACATTCGTTAAATATTTACGATCTGTATAATTAGTCATGATTAAATATAAATCGTTTTTCTAGATAAACCATTAATAGTTTGGTATTTTAATAATAATAACAATACTAAGGAATAATGTTTAGCGGAGAGTAAGGATTCTGATTTAACTTATGTTTTGATTGTAATCATAGAATAATACTTTATTCGTCATATAATGCTTGACAATATATGAGCCTTCTTCGGATTTCAAGCCCATCCTTGATCTTCTAACCGTAAATTTTGGCATTAAATGTTAATGATTAATCATTAGTTAAATCAATCTCCAATTTGATTAACGATTAATTTAATCAATCTCAAATTTGATAAACGATTAACAATTAATTTAATCAATCTTAAATTTGATAAACGATAAACTATTAATTTAATCAATCTTAATTTAATCAATCTCGAATTTGATAAACGATTAATTTAATCAATCTCAAATTTGATAAACGATTAATTTAATCAATCACAAATTTGATAAACGATTAACGATTAATTTAATCAATCTCAAATTCTATAAACGATTAATTTAATCAATCTCAAATTCGATAAACAATTAATTTAATCAATCTCAAATTTGATTAACAATTAACGGTTAATTCATTAATCGAGCTGCTGATGATTAAATTAATTGTTAATCGTTTATCAAATTTGAGATTGGAATTTGCCCTACTATTTGCCTTACAGTGTCAACGCCTAAACCGTTGCGACCACGGACACCCCAAGCTTTTTAATAAAATGTTGTAAATATAATAGTGTAAAAATGTTGTAAAATATGTTGTACATGTCTTTAAAAAAAATAAGTAAAATAGTTATCAATGTATTTTTTTAGTAAAAAAACCACATGGAAATGTTTTCTAACATAAACCAACAAAATTGTACAATTACTTTTATTATTTACATTTGCTTTATTTTAGTTTGCCAGTGCCATTACAGTGCCAACATGACCTCAACAAAGATCGAGACATTGGCACAATAAATAAAATGTTTTTCTAAACCCACATCACACCAAACCACATTTCACGATCTCTAAATAATCATTAAATAACAGTCACTAAACACCATTGTTTAGTTTATTGATTCAGTTATGTTCATTGCATGAAAATATGTAATTCTGTATGTATCTACACATAACATTTCTGTTATCATTCAATATGTTACATTATTGCTCAAATTTGTCTGGAATTTTTGAAGAAAGTTCATATTTATTTTGTTTATATTCAGAAGAGTTAAAAGTTCATTTTAGTTACTTACGTTTTTATGTGCTAGACTATCTCAGGTGTATTTAGACCATGAGAAACGTTCTAATTTTTTACACATATCAAATTGTATACATCAATAGTTCCCAAACTTTTTACATTTCTGACGCCCTTAATATAACACAATTTTTCAGCGTGTACTTTAAGATAATAGTCTGTTTCAGAAAAGCATCTAAACCTCTTATTTTGTTTAATAAATAACCAAAACTATTGACTCTTGTGAAATTGAAAAATATAAAAATAATATTTTTTATAGAAAATTTTTGCGGTGCACTTGTAACACAGTCGCAGCAGCGCACAGTTTGGGAATTACTGGTATATACTGTATACATTATAGAATAAAGACACATAGAAGTATTATAATAAAAATGCTATTTAATTTTTTTTTTCTAGGTTTAGTTTTTAAAAAACCAGGGGTGAAAATAATAAGTTACGAATAATCCGGATCTTGGTATGGTGTCGATGAAAAAACAAATTCAATTGTTACTTCCAAGCTTTCGGCCCATTTTAAGGTCATCATCAGGGCAAAACAATCATAACGTTGTCTACAAATAGACATTATTAAGTTTTTAATAGATAGTTTAAAATGTCTTTGAAGACCGACTCAGTCCCAACATTGCCAAGGACTGTAACACCCTGACTGTAGAAGTTACAGTCCTTGGCAATGTTGGAAATGAGTTGGACTTCAAAGAACTTGAAACCATCTATCAAAAACTTAATTATATCAATTTGCAAACTTCGACTGATAACGACCTTAAAACAGGTCGAAAGACTGGTAGATAACAAGTGAATTTGTTTTTTCATCGAGGCCATACCAAGATCAAGATTATTCGTCAGTAAAAAAGTAATCGATAAATCTAGTACTTTAAATAGTACTACTTTGTTTTCTATAGGTATCATAAGATACAAATCTGATTTTGCTTTTGTACTTAGTTTTAGTTGATAACACCGCATGTAACACAGTTGGGATATATAGTTGAATAATCGAGGTTTAGAGTAATATTCATAATGATTAAATAAACAAAAGTAAAAATTTGGTAATTTCTAGTCATATCGGTCTGCCCTACCCTTACTGGTTTAGTGACATAGGGTCCCAGTCCACAGACCTGGCGCTGAAGATTGTGAAAAGCCAAATAGCATCGGACAGGCCAGACCATTGAAGATGGGCAGACCAACATGATTGGAAACAACCTAACTAGAGGTCATCACCCTGCAGACCACATGAAGAACTCTCACAATGGTAAATGTTTTCATGTAGAAAATCTTTTGTAACAACTAAGATACTTACAGTGAAAACTGATATTCTGCCTGTGCGATATCCCTGACAGTAGTTGTGTACGAAATAGAGTTTTTCTTTGAACAAGCCCGTAGGGCATCGTCGTAACGACTGCTCTCCTCCTGTGTCACCGTCAACGGGTGGGTGTAGTTGCTGTTTTCGTGCTGAAGCAGACAATAATCCATAAAAACCATACTCCCAAAGGGTTGTCAAAGTTGTTCTGACTCACCAAATAGCCTCTGTTTTGGAAATACGAGAGGACCGACTCGGTGACCCGGTCGGGTTTCAACAATTCCATGTCCTCCAGCTTGTCCAGCCTGATGTCAACGCCGGGAGGACATCGACTCTTGGAATGCGGCCGGCTGAACGGCGAAGGACGCGACTGTCCTTAAAGTCATCCGAATTATTTCAGGCGTACTTCCAGGTACAAAATAGGCGGAGACACTGACGACCGAATGGAACAGCGACCAGTGAGCATATAGACGTGCGTTGCTAATTGCTATCTCCTTCCTTTGAACTTTGAAGAATGAACCTAGCGCTTCGTTGTTGTCATCAGGAACTAATCCTGCTTTTATATGCTACAGGTACAAGACGACACAAGTTATAACCGCACATCATATTCTCCAATCGTAACAATCGATTAGCAGACGCATATAACAACAATAACATGAAATATGATATTAAAGCTAACCTTCATTACAAAGTTGTAATTAAAAACGCAGCCAAGACAATAAACGATTAAAAATTAACACAAAACGAACTACATTACATAAATTATAAAAAGTTTTCCGTAGGTCAACACATTTGGAATATTAAAAAAATATAATTTATAACAAATATAAATAAAAATATAAGTAATGCGTACAAAAACAAATCTTGGTTATAGGTAGTAAATATACAAATTAAAAAACAAATTTAACATTCATAAGTTAATTGCGTGCCTTAAAAATATAATTTCGTAAGTGTACAACATGTAAAATATATATGTATATGTATATAGAGCATATAGCTTTTATTATTAAGAAGATAATTAAGCCTAATAAATTTATACGTAACATGAAGTATGAAAATAAAGCACAATCCTGTATTTCAAAGTATGTCCTGTATTAAAAGCACAACCAGGAAGACAATATTAAAAAAATATACAGAATAAGTACAAATAAAATGTACATTGATACAAAATCCAATTATTTAAATGGTTAGAGGTATAAATATGCAAAATAGAAAAGAAATTTAGTCAAATACGACATTTAAAATATTTACAAGTTTATTGCATCTTTATAGAAAGATTGAATAACATACTCACTCCATCATTTATTATTTATATTATTTTATTGCGTAGTTATATGCATGAATTAAAATTGATTAAATGCAAAGTAATGTATAATAATAATGAAGATTAAAACAATTTTAACAAAGAGTACAATTGAGCCTTGTATATATTTAACTCATACTTTTCACCTGTTAAGAAGATACAAAAGTAATTATGTTGATTTGATGCCTAGTATGTATATGCTAAAACAAAGATTATTAAGTGTAAAGCTATGGCTCAAGTTAGTGAATATAAATAATATAAAAACAATTTTTAGTAAATCGTGAAATTTCATATCGGAGTTTGTGGGATGACGAACCAAAAATTTGGTCATTTCCGAAAAATGTATATTGTTAAATTCTCTGTTTTAGTTATACTTTCCTTTTAAGAATGATTATTTTTAATAAACATATTTATGCACCAGTGAGCCCAGATTAATCTATCTTTATTAATTATCCATTAATTTTCTTATAGACTTGGTTGAATCAATGCTGTTGAGCGGCTGCCTGAGAATAAATGTTCATAGAGTAAATAATTTTAATAATGATGTTAAACTTTTTCAGGTGTCCTGAGTTGGTAGTGCCCTGCTAAGAGAATTGGTTAAGCTGCTTTTGTTTAATTTAAAATAAATTACTGGCAGGCTTCATGAATTAGTGTGCAACCACCCTGGGTGTAGGCGTCTGGGGTCAGACCTAAGTTTTATCCATCTATCCACCAGATTTAGGTTAATCTTTGTTTTTGCATACACATAGGCATCAGATCAACATAATTCCTTAAGTACCTTCTTAACAGGTGAAAAATATGTGTTTACTAAAATACACACACACACAGATATATATATATATATATATATATATATACTATAAAGGTTCAACTGTACTGCTACTTAAAATTATTTTAACCTTCATTACATTAACCCATTGCTTTACATTGATTAAATGTTAATTAATAAATTTGTATACATGTGCTATCATGCAACAGATCACTTTAATAATAAAGAGAGTAAATGCTTACCATTCATATTTTCTATAGATTTCAATTGTACAATTATTTAAAATTGTTTTAAGGTTTTTTTTTGGTATTGGCTTTATAGCCATAAGCCAGGTGTAGCCATGCCGCAGCCAACACCAATTTTGAATAATTGGTTGTATATGAATGTACTTATAATTTTATTTCCATTTGTAAAATATATTTTGTATAATATTCCAGATGTGCTGACCTATTGTAAAACTTTTATACAGGGGAAACAAATGGTCACTGCCATTCTGAAGTACAATTCTCATATCAGGTGGGATTCCTACATACTCTCTATAAAAAGCCAAGGAATGATATATTTCAATTAAATGGGACAAATTGCTAGACACAAGTACAAATAAGTAACCTCACATGGTCTTATGTAAATATTGTATATAAAATAAAAAAATAATTTATAGTTGCTAATTGGATTTTACAAATTTCCAATTAGATATAATTTGTTTATTTATTAATTTGTTATGCATATTAAAAATAGATACATTAAATTAGTATAATAATTGTATTAAATAAATGCACATTTGTTGTATTAAATAAATATTATTATGTATTATATTAAGTAATTAAGTTATTTGTATTAGGGATTTTATGTAATTAATTTTTTAATGAAAGTGTAATTATATGTAATGTTATTTAAAACATTTAAAACTATGTGTGGTGTTTAGTGACCGATACTTGATGATTATTTGGAGGTCGTGAGATGCGGTCTGGTGTGACGTAGGTTTCAGAAAAACATTTTCTTTATTGTGCCAATTTTCGATCTTTATTGAGATCATCTTCAGGCCCTGGGATTTATTGTTTAAATTTTACAAATACACGTAGGATGTGAAAAAAAATTATACAATGCTAGAAAATTTTACATTAAAAAAAACTGAATTTATACAGAAAATTTTAGATTAAAAAAAAAATTATACAGTGCTAGAAAATGTTAGATTCAATCAAAGTGGAAGAAGGAACACAAACTATTTGAGTGAGTACAAATACTTTGATTGAATCTAAAATTTTCTAGCGTTGTATAATTTTTTTTAAATCTAAAATTTTTTATCACATTGTATAATTCATTTTTTATTAATCTAGAATTTTCTAGTATTGTAAAAATTCTTCACATCCTACATGTATTTGTAAAATTTAAACAATGTTTATAAATCCCAGGCCCTGAAGATGATCTCAATAAAGATCAAAACATTGGCACGATAAAGAAAAAGTTTTTCTAAAACCTACATCACACCAACCCACACAATCTAAGAATAATCTTTAATTAATATATTCACTTGCATTTGGGATTTTACATAATTATTTAATGACAGTGTAATTATATGTAATGTTATTTTAAACATTTAAAAATATCATTAATAACTTATTAAAGGATTTTTTTGTGTATAATATTAATTAATTTGTTTGTATTTGGGATTTTACATCATTATTTAATGAACGTTTAATTATATGTTATATAATTTTAAACATTTGAAAATATCATTAATAGCTTATTAAAGAATCTATTTTGTGTCATATTAATATATTTACTTGCATTTGGGGTTTTATGTAATTATTTAATAAAAGTGTAATTATATGTAATGTTATTTTAAACATTTAAAAATATCAGTAATAGCTTATTACAGGATTTATTGTGTATAATATTTATTAATTTATTTATTTGCATTTAGAATTTTACATAATTAATTAATTAGTGAAAATGAAATTATATGTAATGTTATTTTAAAGGTTTAAAAACATCTGTAATCGCTTATTAAGGGATTTATTGCATATAATATTATTACTTTAGCTATTTGTATTTGGGATTTTACTTAATTATTTAGTGAAATTATATGTATTTAAAAATATCATTATTAGTTTATTAAAGAATGTATTGCGTGTTATGTTAATTAACATATTTATTTGTATTTTGGATTTTACGTAATTATTTAATTAAAATTTAATTATATGTAATCTCAAAAAGCAGCATAATCTCACTGACACTTTCAACATANCTTTAGCTATTTGTATTTGGGATTTTACTTAATTATTTAGTGAAATTATATGTATTTAAAAATATCATTATTAGTTTATTAAAGAATGTATTGCGTGTTATATTAATTAACATATTTTTTTGTATTTGTGATTTTACATAATTATTTAATTAAAATTTAATTATATGTAATGTTATTTTAAGCATTTAAAAATATCAGTAATAGCTTATTAAAGCGTAATGTATGTAAAAAAATAAATAAGGTACATATATTCAAATTATAAAAGTAATGCAGATGCACAATTATTCTTTGGTGTGATACTGTACGACAATAGGAGATTATTTGAAGAATAATTCCAGGGCATTAAGTCAATAACATATAGGATGGAGGTGGGAGAGAATTGAATAAAGGCTAGAAAGTGGAAAGTGGAGACCGATAAATAAAATGATAGAATTGGTGCTGGCGACGGGGATCGGGCTTTTTGTAGAAAACAAGAGACGTAGAGGGGAGGAAATAATGCGCAACGTTTCTATTCTCGAATCAATACTGGGCGTGGATCGTAGTTGAACTAAAAAGCTAATGGAGATGGCGAGCGAGTCTCCAGCCGGTTCACACGAAACGGCCTTGCGCCGTGGTTCCGTCACACGAATTATATTCCCTCGCCGATCGACATCTTGCATATCGAGACAGGCCGGCTAGCAGTAGATGTAGACTCCCCCATGGGCCAGGTTAGCATATAAGACATCCGGATCACAATTTTACAGATGGCGACTGTAGAAGCAGTGCCGATCGAGCCGAAAGGCGAGCATATAACGGCATATATGATGGCCTCCTCTCTTAAAGCTGCCGTGGGGCCATTTTCTCTCCTTCCTCGCTCCAAACAACGTTCGTCTCTCCGTTACTGGACTTTTCTCAACCCTTTTCCATTTAAATTCGTGTTTATCGACAAAACTGACAACTTATTGACGTCATCTACGACAGAATCGTAAGTAATTTAAAGTCGTAAATAGCCCTCGTTCCGATCGTGCGAGTTTGTTCACCAATAACCTGCCTACTTTCTCTTTTTTTGTTATTTTTCAATTATTTTATTTTACTCTTTTTAAATAGCGTTTTTTTTAAACCAGATTTGGGAATGGTTGACGTGATGTACACGACGAAAAAGGTTCTGTGCAGGGTCTGTGCCCAAACCGAATTCAGTGTCCCGATTTTCAGCTTTCTGGGGGAACAGTTACAGCTTCTCCATCAAATTAGCTTCTGCCTCGGAATCCGAGTGAGTAACATTATGAATATACACTTAGAAAGAACGAGGATCTCATATAAGTTATAATCACGTGGCATATAACATCATGAACGTAAACAAATTCATTTTTAAATAAATTTCTATCAAATAAATAAACACTTGGCCAGGACGACAGTCTCATATAAGTTATAATCTCATAACATAAATTCTTCAAAGTAAACTTTCTAAAATTAATTTCTTGATTTCAGTTCCTTGCATAAATCAATTGTTCTTAAATAAACACTAATACAGAGTCAGGTACATTAAGTAATATGTCTTTATTAATATAACTGTAAACAGAGAATATGTACTATTGAAAAAGAATATACAGCGGTCTTATCTGCACTATTAGGAAAAACTGGGTTAGTCAAATTTTGGTAAAAACGAGATAAGTGCTATTCCCGCAGACCTGGCAGATTAAGTAAGTCGAGAAGGGAACAGTTGTAGGTTCTACGTAAAATTAGCTTCTGTCTCGAACTCCGAACGGAAAAAAGAATACATTTAGCATGAATGAGGGTCTCATATAAGTTATATCTAAATCTCATGGCATATAAGTTCTAGAATTAACCTCTATAATTCAATTTGTTTTTAAATTAATTTTAATCGAAAGTCATACATAATAATACGTCTTTATTAATAAGAAGTGTAAATTACAAATTTGTACTATTCGTAAGTAATATACAACAGACATGCACCATCGGGACAAAACTGGATAAGTCAAATAGTGGCAAAATGAGATAACTTAATATTCCAGCAAGTCTTTAGGCCTGACAGACTTTATTTTTTTAGTCAAGAAGGAAAGTGTTTGATTCCAGAAGGAAATAGTTAAGCTTCTCCATCAAATTAGTTTATTCCTCGGAATTCGAGTTAATAGCAATATAAATATAGACGTAGTCAGGACGAGGATTTCATATAATTTACAATCCCGGGACACATTCAAAGTCAACAAATACACTTTTCCCACCAAATAAGTAAACACTTAGTGTTATATGCACCTCATAAAAGTTACAATATCACGGCACATAAGTTCTTAAATTCAATTTTCTCAAATTAATCTCTTAATATATATTTTTCTCAATTGTTCTTAAATTAACGCTAATCAAAAGTAAGACATATATCATGGACACACCTGTTGTCAAATTTTGGCAAAATGAAATAAGTAAATATTCTAGAAAGTTTTTAGGCTTAGACAAACTATATGAATTTTTAAGTCAAGAAGGTATCAGTTACGCTTCTACATTAAAATAGCTTCTGCCTCCGAATCCGAGAGTGTAACATTATACATAAATATACACTTAGAAAGAACAACATTCTCATATAAGTTACAATCATGTGACATGTAAGATTTTCAAAGTAAACAAGTATACTTTTAAGTGGATTTCAATCAAATAAATAAACACTTAGCCAGGTTGACGGTCTCATATAAGTTATAATCTCATGGCATATAAGTTCTAGAATTAATTTCTTTATCACAATTTTTCTTTGTATAAATCAATTGTTCTTAAATTAACTCTAATCACTAGCTACATATGATGATGATAATATGTCTTTTTTTAATACAAAATATAAACAATTATAAGTTTTGTTGCATAATGGGTTAAAAGTACCAGAATGTCAGGATGTAATTAAATAAATAAAAATATTATTTGACAAGGACAACTGCATTGAATTTGGTGGGCACATAAAAAAGAAAAAAAAAAGGTTCTATAAAAATTGGATTTATATCTAAGGGGAAAATTTTAAAATTGCAATCCCAAAAAGGTGGATTTTGACCTTCCAGTTTTGTCCCGATGACGCAGATATTCATTGTATTCGGTTCACTTGACTGACACATTGTTGGAATAAACAAATAAAACTAAACTCAATAAAATGAAGTCACTGTCATAGCGCCATTGTGAATAATTATTGTTGTTTGTTAGTCCTGTTTATAAGGTGTAGACTGTATTAGTGTACTACTATTATAAGTGGGATATTTAAGAACTGGTGTTTATATGTAGGAAATTATAATGTATTTGTTGGTAAACAATTAAATGTAAATGCGATATTTGGTGCATTTAATTGTGCATATGATCATCAAATAAAATATTTTTAAATAAAAAATAAAACAACATTAATTTTTAATAAAAAGTGACATTGTCCAAGTTATGAATTGAAAAGTGTGACCCACAGGGTGTTAACATATGTATGTTATCATTTACATTCATTTACCTTTTATGTTGAGCCAATTTTTTAGTTGAATCTACAGTTATTTTTAATAAAAGGTGTAATTGTCCAACATAAAATTAACTTCACTAATTTCGTGGTCCGCTTGACCAATTAATATATTATAATTAATTAAGGTTTTTAGTTGAGATAAAAAAGTCAATGGCATGAGCGGGATTCGAACCCATGATCTTTGGCTTGATACGCCGCTGCTTTACCACTTGAAAAATGGCAAAAAGGAGGGAAAATACAAAAGGTGCGGTTGAGATGGGAAGTTGGTGTCCGAGTGGATCAAGGTCACGATAGCTCAAGTGGTACAGCAGCGGAGTATCTAGCCGAAGATTGTGGGTTCGAATCCCGCTCGTGCCATTGACTTTTTTATCTCAACTAAAAACCCTAATTAATTATAATAAAAATTAACCTATGAAATCAAAAGTTGAAAAGATATCCTCAGGAGCTAATTTCTGCAGGCATATTTGCTGTTTCTTTCTTTTGCACACAACATACCCTAATAAATTACGAAATCAATATATACAAATAAGGTTTACATACTAACTGCATTTTAGTTAAGATATTCATTCATTCAGAAAAGTTAAGGAAACTATTGTCAATTCTGATTCAACTTTTTGTTTAATAATTTAATAAAAAGTGTTATTGTCGAATAAATTAATAAAATGAAAAGTGCTGCTGTGAAATGAACTACTGTTGTAAGATTAACATACACTGTCTTTCGCTTGCTATGCATACACAATATACTTAACATTAATTTATATTTTGCTTTCGGTCCATTAAAAAAACGTTTTTATTGGAACTACAGTTATTTTTTTAATGAAAAAGTGTAATTGTCTAATAAATTCGGTTATGAAGTAAAAAGTGCTGCTTTAAAAGTGATGCCCACCGGGTGCTAACTTCTATTGTGCATTTGCTTTGCCTTAATTTGTTTTGCATATGCAACGTACCCTAATAAATTATGATTAAATGATTAATAGTTTCATAAAAACATTAAGAGTACTAACTGTACATTTTATCTAGAAATAATCATAATTAATTGTAATATATTGAATATTGAATGGTCAAGCGGACCACACAATTAGTGAATTTAATATTTTCCTGCATTTGTATAAACACAAGTTCTTAAATATGTGCATATATTTATCAAAATGATTAATAAGTAAACTGTTGTTGTGTGATTTAAAAAAAAAATTATTGCTATTATGATATGCATTGTCTTTTTGCTTTGCATGTATTATTTATTGCTCTGCATACACAACGTATTCTGGGAAATTATGGGTTGAAATATAGGACTTATAAATCATGATTTCAACACATTATTTTTCCAAATTATTCCACTATTATTCCAAACTGGATTCACTACTACAGATATTTTGTATGTACAAAAATACATACAAAAATAAAATAAAATTATTGGAGATTGTGAGATGCGGTCTGGTGTGATTTAGATTTTAGAAAAACATTTTCTTTATCGTGCCAATGTTTCAGTCTTCATTGAGATCATCTTCAGGGCCTTGTATTGCCTGTATTTCAACAAAAAAGTTCTCTGATAGCCGATGCAAGTTTCTTCTCATTGTTGATGTCCTTCAGAATACTCTTTGCTTGGTGCCCATACGTAGAATCTCATGTTCTTCGCTCTTCTCGTGTAGAAATGTGTGATGTTTAGTGACTGTTCGTTAATGATTATGTGGAGATCGTGAGATGCATTCTGGTGTGACGTAGGTCTTAAAAAAACATTTTCTTTATCGTGCCAACGTTTTGATCTTTATTAAGATCATTTTCAGGGCCTGTGATTTATAAACATTGTTTAAGTTATACACTGATTATAAATCCCAGGTCCTGAAGATAATCTCAATAAAGATCGAAACATTCGATTGATAAAGAAAATGTTTTTCTAAACCTACGTCACACCAGACTGCATCTCACAATCAAAAAATAATCATTAATTAACAGTTACTAAATACCACACATAAAATGAAAAAAAAATAAATACTAATTTTTAAATATTTACATATATTTATCAGAATGAATAATAAGTTAAGTAAACTATTGTCTTGTTATTTATCTTTTTACTTCCATAATTTTTTTTTTAAATTGAAATTACAGATTTTTTAAATCAGAAGTGTAATTGTCTAATAAATTCAGTTATGAAGTGAAAAGTGCTGCTTTGAAAGTGAAACCCTCAGAAGTGCTAACATATAATGTCGTATTTTCTTTGCCTGTATTACATTATGAAATATTAAAACATAATCTTTTATCATCTTACTTCAGTTTGAATCTGATCATGATCAACAAATTTTCCCTATAGCCGTTAATTAGATTTGTATTGTTTTTATTGAAATTACTGTTATACCGAATTACCAGTCATCTTAAAGTGTCCAAAGTATTTCAGTTAAAATATAGTCCTTTTTTCTTATAAGATAAATGTTTTATCTTATCAAGTTTGAACTGCTGATCAGTCATCTTTCAAAAAGTCAAACGTGTCCTGGTGTGGTTGAATCATAACTAATCAAATATGCTGCATCAGTATAAGTGATAAAGTCGCATAAAAGGAAATTCATGTACTACTACTGTACTGTATATAATGTACTAGTAATCTCATTTGAGTTAAGCCAGTTTTTGTTAATGTAGGTACTTATACAAATTACAAAGTACATCAACTTTTCTTTATAAAAACATGCGGCATTTTGTTTGATATGTGGAATTGTAATAACCAAGATTTATTATCTGTGATAAATTATGGTGAGATCTGCAAAAGTTTTGTTTAATCGGGTCTGCCGTTTCTCATTGATAATGACGTGAAGTTCAGGTTGATTTGCAAGAATTTGTTATAAGAACGGGTTATAAACGTTTGCAAAAAAATGTCTTTTTGTTAATAAATTTGATGCTTTGTCATTTCTCTTTGCTCCCTTTTTTCTAGTATTCTTGAAATTTTCAAAAAAAATCTTATTAAATTGTTCACTATTGTTAGTTTAATTGGCCAATTATGTTTGGCGAAAGACTAAATTTCACAGGACTTTGCGTCGGTATGAATTGTTGAAGGTCTAAAATCAACAGGATTATTCAAGTTGGTTGAAGAAAACCAAAATAAAATTTTATTGTGGCTGAATATGGTTGAAACAACTTTAAACCACTCTGCAGTCATGACAAAACATGTTTAATCATTTTTGAACTGTGGTAGTGAAACCTCTTATTAGTGTAAGGTCTGATTATGTGACAAATCACAAAATTACATATTCTTAAACCCAAAATATTTTGATGTGCTCGCACCAACATTATTTAGCTGCATGGATTTTGATGAAATGGTGCTATTCATTTGACTATTTGAAAGGGTCACATCGTATATTTCACGTTCTTCTATTGCCTATATAGTTAATTTAAAACTGTTTAAATTTTTGTTTCCTCTCCTATTATAATTTATCTACGTCTAGAATTAAACTTTAAAAAAAGTCAACGTATGGTTTTCTGTCTTTGGTTTTTTTGGGACTTCAGAAAATGAATTATTGGGGCCACAATGTTGTCATTTGCAGCAGCCAGTCATTTCTTGAAAGATGTCATATGCTACCTTTGTTTGGTAACGTTTGGAAAGAAACTGGGACTCATGTAACAACACCACGCAATAACTGGTTGTGCGTGGAGCAGACTGACACAAACAAAACATTTGACTTGGCCGGTGCGGTTTATCCCCATTCAAACCTGTACAAAAATGGTCATCTTGGCTCGCTGCAAACAGCTTGGATCAGCCGCAGGCTGTTTTGACTAATCTGGCGTGTTTTCGGCCTAAGTGACGCATGACAATAGTGTTATAATATTAAAACTGAAGACTGATCTGTTCACCGACGAAGTGGTTATACCCTTCCATTACCATTCACATGCCAACATGTATGGTCTTACCGTCAAACACACTTTCAAATTCACTCCTATTCTTCTGATCTCTATCCACATATATAAGGAATACTGCATTCAGTTTCCTTATTTCTGCCTCCAACCGGTGGAATTTGATTTCTCACTCTATCCACCAACCCCTATCTATTTCCATCTTTAAATCCCTATCTTTGATTACATTTTGTCCTTACTTCTTGGCAATGGAGATTCTTAATTTCAATTTTTAATTTATTCTTCATAGTAGTCTATTTTCATTTTGTATGTATATATTTTTCCAAAAAAAAAAAAAAGTCAAGCTTAAATCTTTGTAAATACATTGTATTCATAATTAATCATTCAAGAGAACTTTTAAGTCCCAAAATACATTTTATTTTTCATTTTTAGTTATATTAAAAAAAATATATATATTTTGTCTGCTGAGGAGTCGGTGACAACAAATCCAATGGTTGCTTGGGTGGTTAATACATTTTGGTAGTATGTTAAAAAAATTAAAGTTGGTATTATGAACTTCAAACTTACTGTAAAGTGTGTGGTGTTTAGTGACAACACGACACACAAGAATGACACATCTACAAGGAAAACACTTTGAGCCCCAGAGATGATCTCAATAAAGGTCAAAACATTGGCACGATAAAGAAAATGTTTTTCTAAAACCTACGTCGCACCAGACCGCATCTCACGATCTTTGAATAACTTACTGTAAAGGAACATTAAAAAAAAAAATTAAACAATTATTTAATACAAACTTAATTTGTATATCACTTAATTGTTTCTATTTAATAATGTACCTTTATTTTTTGGCAATTTATGATAAATATTTATGTAAAAACTGTTTTAATTAGGTCTGTTTTTAATTTTGAAATAAAATATTTAAGCATTAATTCATTAACCATAGAGAAAACACAATATTTTTGGCCTTTATACATTATACAAATATAAGTTAATAAATAATAAAAGATTAATCAGGAAATAGGTTCTAATATTAATGTTTGGAAATGTTATTTTTTTGTAGATCAGTTAATTAATGACCTTTACACCATAATCTGAATTTAATTAATTAGTAATTATTACTGGTAATATTTTTATATTTTTAATTCTTAAAATTTTACTTCAAGGTTCTGGAAAATGATAATTTGCCGAAACACATATGCTACATTTGCTTGGGAAAGCTCACATCGTTTTTCCAATTTAAACAAATGTCTGTTAACGCTCAAAGCCAAATCCCTCATCTCATGTGCGAACTACCTGAATCAGTCACTGTAAGTTTTATTTGTAATATTTAAAGAGAATTTCTATTTATTAGATATTATTTGTCTATAGATAACCCCAGTTAAGAATGGTGAAGTTGGATCGACAGCTAATGCAACACGCAGTTCTTTACAAAATGGTGTATCTAACAAGGATGAGTCAGACAGCAGTGGTTTAAACCTAATGATTCAAAATGTTCAATCCCTCGCGCATACTCCAAGGACACCGGGTGAAATCTCTACTACCCCATCGGCACCTGAAAAACGAAAAAACCTCGATCTCACACCCGAGGAAAAGTGAGATACTAGATTTTCCATAGTGAAACAATAAATGTTTAATTTGCGACTCTTTTTTTCCCCCAGGGCTGCGAGAAAAAAGGAAAGAAAAACGGTATGTATGGAATGTGGCCTGTGGATGCCAAGGTACGAGATAGCAGAGCATGAAGAAAAGGTCCATTTCAAAAGAGACTATTTCTGCCTGAGATGCGAGAAAGACTTTGTGGCACAGCCACAATGGGCAAAACACGTAGAAGAGGTTCATTCAGAGGCAACTTAAAAAAGATGTAATTATTTAAATATTTTAAAGTTATTCTTCCTAAAGCATTTACTACTTCAGATATAAGATAAACTTTTAAACAACTACCTCCCACTACCTCGCTTGACCAATTAATACATTACAATTAATTAAGGTTTTTAGTTTAGATGAAAAAAAGTCAATGGCACGAGCGGGATTCGAACCCACGATCTTCGGCTAGATACGCCGCTGCTCTACTACTTGAGCTATCGTGACCTCGATCCTCTCGGCAAAAAGGAGGGAAAATTCAAAAGGTGGGGTTGAGATGGGAAGTTGGTGTCTGAGTGGATCGAGATCACGATAGCTCAAGTTGTAGGGCAGCGGCGTATGTAGCCAAAGATCGTGGGTTCGAATCCCGCTCGTGCCATTGACTTTTTTTCATCTCAACTAAAAACCTTAATTAATTGTAATGTATTAATTGGTCAAGCGGACCACGAAATTAGGGAATCAAATATTAATCTTAATAATAAAAATGATAAATAAGCCTTCTGATCTTCCTAGTTGCTATCGGCCCATTACTCTCCTATCTATATATCCTCGCCAAAATTCTAGAAAAATCCTTTCTCTGACGATTATTGCCGATAATTGAAAATACTAATATTATTTATTTTTGATTATCAGTTTGGATTATGCCCATTTCACTCATCAACTCAACAGTTGCACATATTGTTGACAATATCGCTTCTTCCCTTGAACAAAACGTCACTGCTTCTTGATGTAGAACTGGCCTTTGATCAATTCTAGCACTCAAGCTTTCTTTGGAAATTGAAGAACATCCTCCCTCAATTGTACTATCTCATAGTGGGATCATATTTGACTGATTTATTTGGCCGAATCCACCAGAGAACTTAATTTTCACGTAGTTACGTATTAGAGTGGGTGTTCCTCAGGGAAGCATACTTGATCCATTTCTATTTGCAGTATACCTTCTAAATATTCTTACACATAATTTGGATAAACACTCAATACTTACAACCACACCTAAATTAACAGTATGGATCACTAAATGGAGAATATAAATAAACATGATGAAAAGCATACAGGGGACCGCGGGAGCCGAGTTGTTAACATGATGACTCTCGGCTTGTAGATTCCGCATGGGGTTCATTTCCCACCGACACCCCTTGCCCTTTTTTCACACTACCCTTCCTCCTCCCATCATATATGATGAAACAATCAACATTGTACTCAGGCTAATACGCAAGTTCATAAGGCCATTAAATAACATGCAGATAAATTTTACTCTGCATAAAAGTATCTGTTCTCCAGTGAGTATAAATGGAACCTCATTGCTCACCACTGACCTTGTGCGTTATCCTGAAATTTTCATATAAAGCAACTGAAAAGACAAAAAACAAACCGCCATTATAATCATTAAAAAGACTACTTGACTCATGATCAAAATTAAAAAACAAACTTTTAATTTACAAAATAACGATAAGACCTCTCTGGACGTACAATTGTGAAGTGCAGGCTCAACCAAGAATTCCAGTGCTCCAATAAAGTCAGTCTGAAATTCCCCATCAAATTATAAATGTTTCTTTTTATGATTCAAATCATACTATTCATAATGATCTACACATCCCGTTTGTACATGACCTCATCAAAACCCACGATAAAAAATTTCATCAATCACTGAGCATTGACAATAATCTAACTAGCATGACAGTTATCACTTCCTTCCATACAAAAAAAAAAAAAAAATTCTCCAAGACGATTGAAGCAAAATCGGGCCAGAAACCTTCTCAGTGATTGATGACGAGATTTCAGTGTGAAGGAGTGTTGTCGTTACTGGGCAACTTCTAGTCCACTCAAATGACAAATTCACCATATATAGAAAATATTTAATATAATATCGGGTTGTCTGGAAAATAATGCAGGATTTTAAGTTTTCATTAAAAAAAATCTATATAAAATATTCTGTTTACGTTTACAGGATTACTCATTTGTATGAATGTCAACANATTATTTTGATTAAAGAACATTGCTTTAAAGTAACTAGTTTCTTTTTTTTTGTTTAATACCAAAATCCTGCATTATTTTCCGGACAACCCAATATTTGTAGTTGTAAATAACAAATAAGTGTAATAAATTTTTTTAACAAGTTAATATTGCTGACCTATTTGATTACTTATGTTTTACCTATTTTATTAATAAAATTTATTTATTTACAGATTTCTACTTTGCCATCATTTGGGTCATTGAAGAATTCTGAATGCTTGAAGAATGAAGAATCGGTCCATCTAGACTGTGTTTATTTCACATTCTTCTTAAATGAATTCCTGTACATAAATATATTATATCTATTATGTAGTTCCTGTCGTTAAAAAATTGTCAAATTTTTTATATATTGTGTATAAGAGTTGTGAAAATATTTTTCTTTTTTACAATTGGGATTCTATTTCAGGAAGAAAAACGCGTTTATAAGTATTCTTTTTTGGCCAATCTGTGATATCGCAAACTCTATTCCCATGCTGAAAAAATAATTTTAATTCCGTGAAAAATTTTAATTTGATCTCGTTTTTTATTGTACAAAATTATTAGCACTGAGCGAAGTTAATTGTGCCTACCTTGAGCATTCACGCAAAGTATTTACTTGGAATAGAAATGCTAATGACTATAAGACATTTCAATAAAATACAACCATGCACTTAACTTCTTGTAATTGTAATTTATTTTTTTTTCATGTCTTTTAGTTTAAATTTAATCCTATTGTTAAGAATTACGTCGTTGATGCCTTTGTTCTATCCCCCTGTACATTTTATTAAAAGTGCATTATGATAAAATGTTACTATTGGCAGAGATGCTATAGGTGTAACTGAATCCCATGTTATTTTAATAAATTATTTTTTATTGTCACTTGTATTTACAGCTTGAAGTTGTTGCAAATTTAATTTTTGCAATATTCGCAAAGAGCCATTATTTACAGTATCATTTACAAAAATAGCCATAATACTGTTCAAAAGTTAAATTTATTGTTTTAATAAACAAATTGTATTTACACTTGAATATACAAATTGTACATAATTTTTCTACAATAATATACAAATACAAAAAAAAAAAATTGAATTGAGTAATTAATAACCTGCATACAGTAGTTGTTTTCAGCAGATCAGCCAAGTCTGGTAGTAGTTATTTTTAATAAAAAAAGTGTAATAATGAAAATAAACTGTTAATAATAAATGCAAAACGATATGATTCAATACTACTTAAGAAAAATTTTCTAGGATGATGTTTCTATGGTTTTTTTTTTTGTTTTGGAGAAACAAATACGATTATGGATGAAGCACGAACTCATATGCTTAATATACAATTATTGATTAAGAGCAAAAGTTGTATTTACAGGATAAAATAAGAATTGCATATGAAAGACATCTCCTGGGTAGTATTGAGTAAAATAATTTAAAATAGAGTATTATTAGACTCTTGTTAAAGGAAGAGGCTGTGGTTTGTGTGGGGAAGTAAAGAGCTTTTTCCAAGCCCGGCATGTTTTCCCCGACCAGACCCACATTCCTGATGAGATGCCGATGACAAGAGAAAGGAAAACTCTCAAAAGTGCGACTTCTATGTTGTTTGTAGGTGAAGGTGGTGTACAATTGTCTGTGAGGCAGATGACGTCTTCTTGACGGTAAAGTGTTTCATACAGTGAGCAGAACACAGATCCCAGCGCAGGAAAAACATATAAAGCTGTGAAGACTGCTAGTCTTGTCATCAGACGCTCCAGTTTGGCTGCGCTCCCACCAGATTTTAGAATTTCCGAACGTACGTTGATAAGAGCGACAGCTCCAAAGACACCAGCTACGGATCCGGTCAGAAGCAGCAATCCATGAGGCAGCGCAATCAGCCAGACTACGGAATCATCACTTACTCGGCAAAGCCCAGTGAGTTCATCTCCAGAAACTTGATGGAGTGCTAAAGCCAGTAGTGCCGCGACTGCTGGTCCTGCCCAAGCTGCAATATGGAAGTAAGTCGCCAGTCCGTACAATGCTTCGCTGCTCCATTTCTTCGCAGCGGATAGATACCAAGAAGTTGCCAAAATGACCCACCAGACACTTCCTGATAACCCGCAATAATACAAGACAAGAAATGTTATAGTGCAAGAAGCACTTTCAAGGCCATCAGTTGCTATGTATGATTCATATCCTTCTGAAGATGGTACACAGCCGATAGAATGCCCAACTGCACCTCTTACAATATAAACTATAGACATTGCATTGTAGCATAAGGCTAAAAATACAATAGGTCTCTCTGGGTATCTAAATCTTCTAGGGTCGACCCAGAACGTTAACAACGTGAATAGCGTAGATACAAAACAGAGCCATGCCCAGCATGTGTTCCATCTCTCCGTGAACCTCTTTTCTTCAGTTGTGAATTCCACATCCTTGCCGCATGTGGGACTGCATTCGTAAGGGTCCCTCGTCAATGTCATATTCTGAGGGCATTGCTTCGATCCGAAGCTCGCCTTCTTCTCGGAGCCATTTGGAAACTGCATACACAGCCCGTTTTTCTCCCCGACTGGGAATTTCGAGCAGTTGAACTGAGACGGCCATGTGAAGTGAAACTTTTCCATGACTGGCTGACAGTCGTTCTGCACCTCTTCGCACAGTCCACGACACGATGGTATCGCTCCGACAACATGTTCAGAACACAGCGGGACGAACACAGAACAAAGAAAGAACCTCAGGTGTCTCGAGCAGTTGTAGTGAACCAACGGCATAAAGTTCTTAAGCTGAAACAAAATAACAGTAATTTTAATAATTGGCTTTTCATCAAATCTAAACATGGTAAAAATTACATTTTATATTACCATAGACAATATATGATTATGCTAATTTTTCAACGAAACATTTATTTGAAATTATTTTGTTGAAGAAGAAATTAACCACGACGATTAATGTGTTTGAGATCTGGTTTCTGGTCAGGAAGAGAAAGAAATAGACTATGATCACTTGCCAAGCTTTCAGCCTTTATAAGATCATCATCAGAGCAGTATCCTATTTCTTATATTAACTTTACAGAATGACAAAAAAAACCTCAACTACAAGGCCTCGAAGTACATGAGGCTGGTTAAGTTGAAATTACGAAAAGTTTTTCATGGATAGTGGTGTCCCCAAAATGCAGGTCCAGAGACAAAGAAAACGTTATGTGTGACTTTCTTTATCGACTGGACCTAAATTTTGGGGAGACCACTCTCCTTGAAAAAAAAATTGAAAAAACTTGTCGTAATTTCAACTTAACCATGTACTTCGGACCTCGTAGTTGAGGTTTTTTTCATCATTCTGAAATGTTAATATGAGAAATAGGATACTGCACTGATGATGATCTTATAAAGGCCGAAAGCTTGGCAAGTGATCACAGAATCTACTTCTTTCTCTACCTGACCAGAAACCAAATCCCAAACACATTTATTTTAAAAGACTTGAGAAACAAAATCTTCTATTGTACATATTTCAGATGTTGAGTTGGTCTCTTAATTAAATTATTATATAAATTGGGGTCTAATTTAAAAGCGATTTTTGTATCTCACAGCTTTATACATATAGTTTATAAGCTTAAAAAATATAGTTTTTAGAAGATTCAATATTAATTTAAAAAAAATAAGCCGACAGACTTCTTCAAATATATTTTAATTTTGGTACATATTTAATGACAACCATTCCACCTTAGACAAATATTTTCCCTTAAGAAACTCTTTTGCACTTCCAATTAGTGAAAGGTCTTTTTATCCGAACAAATTAATTAGGGTAACAACAAAGTGAAAAATAAGAAAGTTGTAATTAAGAGGATTGTATCTTCTTCTAATCTTTTAGGCAGGTGTCTACCTTAATTAAAAAACGCAGGCTGAAAAGTGGTATTACCGCCTTCCTCAACGTGTGTAATTAATCTTTTCGAATGTAGAAAGTTCAAGAGGGTTCATGAAGGTAGTTGGTTTTCCAGCGGTTAAAAGGAAAAGATTGCAAATCTAACTACATTACAAAGAGATATGTCTATAAAACCAAGTGTGAAAATATTTTATTAACATTACTTCATAAATCCCCAGTTGGTATTATTCTAGCATGTGACCATAAGAGGATGACCATTACAAGGTCGGAATTAAAAAAGTAATCAAATGGAAGTAAAAGGCAATAAAACCAATACATGACAAATTTTCTAGATAATGAACCTCGTGTAATTGAGAAATGGAATCTGCATCTATTTAATAAATAAATCGCTATAACTTGTAGTCCAATTTAACAGATGTAGTTTCATTTAGTTAATGGAGGCGGTTCGCCCGTTTAGAAATTTTTCGATTTTAATAGACAAAAACCTGTGAAATTTCGCCCCATCGAAAGATTTATTAAACAAAAATTATAATGTCCAAGTCCCAGGGCAAATAGACATCTAATAGCCGATGAAGGGACAAAAAAGAATTAGTAGGCCTTCCCAGGTCAGAGCCGGGAATATTAAAACGGTTTTTTTAGGCCTCTTTAATTGCTCCTTCCGCCGGCACCTTTCACAAAGAAGATTAGATAAAAGTAAAAGAACTTTATCAAAGATCAAATTGAATTAAATGTGGACTTTTGTACATGTTTTCATTGAGAATTTGTAAAAGATCGAGGGTTGAAGGAAATTACTGTAGAGGTTTTCTTGCTTCCTTTCAATAGAAGGCTATCGAGGGGACTTTTTCAAGCGATCAAGCATGACAATTCCAATTTTAAGTCCAATTGCATATCAGGACTTTTTACTTTAAGTTTTTTTTGGTCTCATTTCTAACTAGCCTTAAAATCCCGAACCACTTCAACCTATTGTATATCATTGTACTTTTTTTCTTGGCAAACAATGGTGACAATATTGGTTCAACCGTCCAAGATGACGTAGGACAAAGAAATTTTGTAGTTGTGACACTTTGTTGATCTAAAAACCAAATAAGTGCTGGGTTTGTGTGTGAGCAAATGGCTTTATTAATTATAGGGGTAGCTTGATAGTCTCCGATCAACAACTGACTATCCTTATTGGTCAGGGTTATAAACAGGGAGAGGCAAGATACCGAATCACTCCATTTTTTACGTTGTCTTCTTTGGTTGGTCTGTGTGCCATTAACTGAAATGAACCGTGTAAAAGAGACTCTCTTTCTTTAGCAAAATCCAAAAGGGCTGTGCATAAAAACTGCACAGAAACCTTTTCGCCATATTCAAAGGCGTATATGTTATATACGTATAATATGTAAGATATATATGTATCTCGGTACATCGTACAATTTTTCATCTCTTCGTGTGGCACTCTCTACACGACACACAGGAATGACACAATTACGCAGAAAACAAACACTTTGAGCCCTGAAGATGATCTAAATAAAGATCGAAACGTTGCCAACGATAAACAAAATGTTTTTCTAAAACCTACGTCACACCAGACCGCACCACACGATCTCCAAATAATCAATACGCTAATGGTTTTATTAAATAGCTTATCTGTTTCCTGCGAGGTGGGTAACCTGTAATTTGGTCGTTGTCGATCATTTTGGTCCTATTCTCACTGGGTTTGTATGTCAGACGCGTTTCGGCATTTCTCCATTTTCTCAGAGGGTGGTCAGGGGTATAAACAGGGTGAAGGGCAAGAGAGCGTGGCAAAATGTCGAACAGGCATAGTAAAATGAGCGGAAATAGCCAAACTTCAATATGAACAAACTAACTTATTTCCAAACTTATCCTACTACTTACCATAAAATAATCAATCATAATTCTCAGTATATGTACATTCTAGCCTAAATATCGTCATATTTATCAAAATATACAACATTTCGAGACTGCTGTTGTCTAATGGGATCCACTTATTTTTTATTAATTTGCAACAACAGGAATTTGCCCGACCCAGCCAAGATAGCAGACCAAAATGATCGGTCTCTCTCTCTCTCTCTCTCTCTCTCTCTCTCTCTCTCTCTCTCTCACTCTCTTTCTCTCTCTCTCCCGTGGGTCTAATTAATAAATTTTTCTTCTATCCATCAATATAACTCATCTACGCCCTTATAATTGTTTCTCCTTTTCTTTTCTCTTTCAATTTAATTTACTTTGTCTTTCTCTTTATATCCGATTTGTATGTACATACATACCTTTATCATTCGATTTATCTAATCTAACGACCAATCTTAACTCTATTCAATTAATTAATCTGCATTTAAGGTATTGGCTGAGATAAAAAAGTTAGTATCACGAGCGGGATTCGAACCCACGACCTTCGGCTAACTACGCCGACGCTATACCACGAGCTATCGTGACAACGTAGAGCAGCGGCGCATTTAGCGTATTCAAAGGCGTATAAACCCTCTTGGTACATCGTACAATTTTTCATCTTCTCTGGTTACTCTAATTAAAATTTCTTCGATCTTTGGTCTGTTTTGAACAGTTTGAAGAATTATATCGAGAGTTGAAATTGCGTGGATTTTAAATAAACATCTGAATCACTAGTTTCAAATTAGAGCCATCAGACTTGAGATATTAATATTTTACACAAAACAATTTGTCCTAAATTCCTAGATAATACGAGTAAATAACGGTTATTTGGGACATACTTGCCTAGCTCATTATACTTTTATATTTTATAATAAATTTAATAAGACGCACGTCTTAGCTGGAACTCCATATATGTGAGACGTCCTTTACAGAGGAATGATTGCATACAAGAATTTAGAATTAATTTATTTACTCCTTCGGGGTTGTAAAGGTCCTTTCGTTTCTGAGTATATGAGATGTGGTTTGAAAGAAAGGGATAAAAAGGAACTTGTCGGCACGGCTGAGTCAGAACATGTTTGATTGCTTGTGGACCGGCCATCCTTCATTCTCTTTTCGCCGTTTCTTCTTTAAAAAGCAAGCTCGTTCTGCAACCGTCATCCGGTTTATTAACATCCATTTTACCGGTGCTTTTCGGTCCGACTAATTAGGAGGTGGAGGCATTTTTCAAATCGTCCAGCCGAAGATCCGGGAATGTTAAAAAAAATCCCTGCCCCATTAAGTGCACGATGCATTAAACTAATAACTCGGCAAAATCCAATCAGCATTCCAACAGCTGCATGATTTTTTATGAGCCAAAAATGCGGGTGCATTTGTAAGCATCGTACACTAGGTACGCTCGAGACAATGACAATGTGGGTAGTGGGTTTCGGAATCTCTTTAGCCCCTAATTTCACAGTTGACCAATTTACAAGAAGACCTGAAAAAATCTTAACTACAAACTTTTCAATTTAAAAAGAAAATATATTTAAAAATGCAGCATTTGCTTTCGAAAAGTTCCTGCTAAGAGATCAAAGGATGATGATCCACCCTTGTTAATTTTTATTGATGTAGAATGCACCGACGATTTACACAAAAGCGCACAAAAAACGCAAAAACTTTTCATAATGTATTATTTCGTTTCGCCGTAACAGCATATATCTTCTGTAAAGTTTGCCTGGATGGATGTACATTTCAAATGACACTGTACACAATAAACAATAAAGTAAAATTGCTAGAATGTTGCTGCATTTTTCTTTTTTACATACTTATGGCAATGTCGAATAAGAAATTGCTCAGAAATATAGGTGAAACATGAAATATATGAAGACAACGCAATGAAATTGACAAAAATTCGAACGCATCTGAAAAAAGGCTGATTACCTTGAAATGTCAGTGTTTACGGTATAAAAAGGTTAAATTTAAATTAAGGGATGATTTGTTGCTGAGTTTCAAAGATAAACCATTGTAGAAGAAAAACCAA